TTGAAATACAAACGCCAAGAACATATACAACATATTAGAAAGTTACAAATATAAGCTTAATGGTTGAAAATCGCTTCAATGTATACATTCATACCTCAAACCTTTCAATACAACGGGACGGTCACTTTGGCCGCTCTTTTCATCCAAGTAAAAACCCTATTTGTGGATTATCACTGGTGGTAACGTCTTCATCTTACTTTCTAAGCCGGCGCTGGTCATCGCAGATTGATTACTTATTAACACACTGTAACATATTACAAACAGATTAACTGGCCTGTTAACCGGAAGTCAGTGGTAACCGGAAATAAAGGTAATCTTAATCGATATATTTCGCTTTTTTTTTTCTTTTTTTTTGTTGATTTTTGGTTGGTTTACACTACACAGGAAAGGGAAACGGTTTCTTCATTTAAAATTGGTTTGATTTTAAAAGTTCGAAAAATATAAAACGAATTTTATAATTTTCGATCGAGCAGTCTGAGTCAGTATTAAAGCTTGGGAATAGTTCACTAGGGCTTGGGTTACCTGTGGAATGTCGTGGGCATGTTTTATTTGCAGAAACAGCACGACAACTTTTATTTTTGCAATGAAAAAGCAAAATTCAACCGGCTCAGGAAGACTGTTTTAGTAGACATGATATGCGATGATTATTACTCCCACCATGCTTTGCTTTACAAAATGGCGTCGCAATGTACAACAGCTAGCACACGCGAAGTGCGTCCCTCTTATTCCGTATCATCGGTAGTCCGTAATAGCGGGAGCAACTTTCTCTCATTTCTCTGTATATTTCACAGGGGTTTCCTCCCCCGACCCCACTACCCTTCCGTTCCCCCTCCCCCTCTCCCCTAGAGCAGCTACGCAGGCTAGGCTAGTGTACTGTGATGCTACAGTGCTATTCAATAATATCCACACATTCCAGATAAAAGCATTTGTTTATTTTAGTTTGAACCTTTCAGACACATCAAGCATATGAATGCAATTCATAAATATATTCAGATCCTTTATGGAATTCTTTGGGGGAGGGGGAGGGGCGTATTGGTGATACAAACCACGATCAAAAGTAATGCATCACTCAACTTAAACACCAAACCTCCCCTTCAAACTGCTGAAGAGTACCGAGTACCGGGGAATTAACATCTTATAGTCGGGGATTTGATACTGTTTTAAGAAAATCAATCCCCTTGGGGGTAGGGGTTGTCTCCTCTCGCAGCCGTTACGAGGTTCTTTCCCAGGTTCGTTCGCAGCCGTTACGAGGTTTTTTCCCAGGTTCGTTCGCAGCCGTTACGAGCCTCGTAACGGCTGCGAGAGGAGACTAAGGTAGGGGTTTTCAAGTCTAAATAAAACTGTAAATAAGCTGGGGGAAAAGCCGGACTTTACAACATTGTTAAAAAGTTAATTCCCCGGTATTTTTTCGAGTGGATGGGAGATCGGGGCTTCAATTGACTGATGCACAACACAAATACACCGCAATAAAAAATCACGTCAAAAATACAGATACAAATCTGTAAAGCGCTCAGTTCTTTGAAAAGAAACCCGTTCAGCCTCCAATTACCCTTACGCTCCCCCTTTTCTACTTTACATCGGTTGTCAGATGATTAAATCTAGAAGTCCTGCTATTTTATTCAACCAATCATGACAACCCTTCTTAGGAAGTTAAGACCTACGTATTTACACACAGCTACGAAAGCGCTTTTGTAACATAGTGAGTAATCCAAATCTGCATAATTTTGCTATTATTTATATATATTAAAACGAAATGAGCTAATTAAGTTAATCAATAATAATTGATTAATAACTAATTAATCAATTGATGATTAATAACTAATTAATCAATTGATGATTAATAACTAATTAATCAATTGATGATTAATTATTGATTATTCTAAGGACGGCCCTGTCAATAGTTCATTAACAATGTCAGATTTCTCAGTAATACCMGTATATTCTAAACCACTAACAAAGCCGCTTGATTGACCATTGAAAACCAGCAGTGCCCAGGGTGACGATGGTATCGGCTACTGGCTTAGTTCACGCAATGAAACAGATCATTTCCTTTACTATGAATTATTGATGCCATTTGTGACCGTGTATTGAAGATAGCCCTGTTGAATCAATCAATCAATCAATCAACTCAGTAACTCAATCAATCAATCAGCCATTTAATTATTCAATCAAGCGATTAACCAACTAGCCAACCAACCCTACCACCACCATCAATTATCCAACCAACCAATATCAACAAATCAATCAATCAACAAATCAATCGATCAATCTATCAATCGAAMAATCTATCTATCATTCATTCAATAAGCCATWTAGTTATTCAATGAACCAATWAACTAACCAACCAACCCTACTACTACCCACCAATCCATCAATCATCCAAACAACCAATATCGACAAAGCAATYAATCAATCAGCTAACCAATCAATCAATTAATCAATCAACTGAGAATAAGTCTAAATAATGGATTCATTCAAAACAAGATGTCATTTTACCTTTATTTCTCGGGCACTCAGGTGTTGTACCATTTGTTGTTCTATAACCCGTGACYTCTCGTCCACCTTTATCAACGCACCAGCATTGCTTTGTCACGTTATTACACTGAACTTGTTTATAGCTACCGTTAACATTGCAAGATGGCTTGCGTTGATTGGTTAAAACTTCGGATAGACTTTGYTCTTGTTGGCAAGAGGTTAACGGTACCCCTTGAAAAAAAATAACATAAATTAATACATGGACAAGTACAAAAAAAAAAAAACGAAATTGATTGGAGAAAAAGAAATCCGTCAATGATAATCCTGTAAGATTCTAAAGAAACGAGAACTGTGTCCTCTAGGGACACGATAATCTCTTTCGCAGTCTCCCCCGCTTTTTGTCGGGGAGGCTGCGAAGGAGACTAGGGAAAAGRGGGCAAAAGGAAAAAGTCCATTCAACCGGGCCAACCTGCTTTATATAATCAGGCACTAAGAAAATGCATCAAAAGTGTCACATCAGTCGCCTTTTGTAACATTTAATGAACTACTTATTGTCAAATCGTTTCGTGTTTTCGTGCCATTAGCAATTCAAAAGTTCAAAAGCACATGGTTTATTTAGCTGAATAGTTRCAAGGTGAAGTGAAGACAGTTGAACAGCGGACAGAGTAAAGTTTGGCCATCCTAAACGCAGTATCTTWATGATGTCAGCTGAAACTGCTCGGTARGTTTTCTCTCGTTTKACGTTGTGTTATGYTTATATACCRCATTAGAAACACCTGCGCAGTTCAGACTAGTTTRATGATAGCTATCTTCTTGGGGAAATTAAAGACGAACTGAGTGAGTGTTCAAACGTTTTGAATACGAAAAGTGACAGAAACGAACAAACAAACGAAATTGGCGGTCCTTTTGTTTTCTCTAGAAACTGATCCCTCAATGAATTGGAAATCACGTAAGTGACGTAAAAGTCAGGCTATTGGTTGAAGGCTATAGACCTCTGCAGCTTTTACGTCATTTACAGTATACGCAATGCATTGTACGTAGGGTATGTTTGGGACAGAACATGGCGGATTTCTTTTGTTTTCTCTTGAAACTGATCCCACAATGCATTGAAAATCAAGTAGTGACGTAAAAGGTTCAGAAGTCTATTGAAAGGCTATTGTTTGATTGAATGTTTGACCGTGATCTGAGAAAATTAATAAAAACATGCATGAACAAAATATCTATTTTAATTTATGATTGAAAGTCTAAACGTTTTAGGCTTAGTTTGTACATGTTACGTACATACCTTTACACTGCCCTTGACATGATGCATAATCTATGAATTTGTTTTCGTTGCCAACACATCCGCCATAAACGAATGCAGCGCATCTTTTAGATTTACTATTGTAAAACCAGCGAAGCAGATTTGACTCGCAAGGTCCAGCATCTACAGGAAGATTACATACTCTCTTATCCTCTTGAGAAAAGAATATCTATAATTAGTATCCGTCGAATTTACTGTAAATGTAGTAAAACTGACAATTTTTCCTTGTCAAGGAAAAGCCAACATTTTCGCTTTTCCTTGACAAGGAAAAATTGTCAAGGACGAAATTTGCCCGTGTAAATGGACAACAAGGAAAATGTGGCAAGGAAAAATTGTCAAGGAAAACTTGTTGACCATTCACACGGGCAATTTTTCCTTGTCAAGGAAAACTTGTTCTTCGTTTACACGAGCAAAGAAACATTGTMAAGGAGGAATTGTCAAGGAAAACTTGTTGACCATTCACACGGGCAATTTTTCCTTGTCAAGGAAAACTTGTTCTTCGTTTACACGAGCAAAGAATCATTTTTAAGGAGGAATTGTCAAGGAAATCTTGTTGACCATTTACAGTACCTCTCGACTCGCAAGTGACTTGTCCTGTTCGTCTACTGTTCTTAATCTCATTATTGTAACGGTCAACACACCAGCATTCTYTAGTCTTAGTGTTACATTGCATGTCGGCGTAACTGCCATCAATGTTACAGCGAGACACTATGGCTTTGCCTTCTATCAGTGCTTTGTTATGACCGTGTTGACAGACCGTCAGCCCTGGATCTGTAATGTAATTTTTAGAAGCTTGGAAGAGAGGTTGATCATATTAGTTGCAAATKGGGGAGGGCGCAATTTCGACGGAGACGGTCATTTTTAAAAACCATTAAATAGGCATGATTTTTTACAACTATGTCAGAATTTTCTCGCTTYTTCCTTTCAAGATGGCGCTGGACCAACAAAATRGAGTAATTGTTTGAAAAAAGMGAAGCGAGGCATCATTGCAAGCTCACCATTCGTCTTACGACTATCTTTTAAGATGGCGCMGGAAGCTGCTAAAAATCTACTYGTTTTYYCACACAAAATGTACTTGTTTCCTACTCGAAATCTACTCGTTTTTCTACTCGACATCTACTCGTTTTCCTACTCAAAATCTACTGTCTTTTTTCACTAACCTGAACAGTTCTGTTTCTTTGATGACATGGTACTGTAGACTTCGTTKCCATACTCATCAACACACCAGCATATCTCTGGCATATTCTTRAAATGTTGACACTGAACTGGCTTAAATCTACCACGTTTGCATTGAGGTACGAAGCGAGATKTGTTTGAYGATGAATAATAATCACGGAGCTCATTACATAGCGATCTTTTACCTGGTGATTAAAGAGAGAACGGAATAACASACTTTCGACATACTTGCTGAATGAGTTRCAGCTCCTTTGAAGCTCCTTTTGCATACATTGCGTACTTTCGGATAACAATGTGTCCGCCATCTTGAAAGTAAGACCCGAATCACTATGTTGCATCTCGTAGTTGCTAAGTCAACTAATCTATCATTATATCGTATCATATTAACTTGACATTAGTTGAGAAGCTTTTAATTCCTTTAGGACTTATAATTTAGTGATTCGAGTCCCTTTTTCATCCTTTTAAAGATGGCGGACGCATTGTTCTCCAAAACTATTGATRCTTGTATTTGGGCTTTCATTTCATTTTCGCGAAGAAAGCGGGTTTTARGTTTGGCATCTCCTATCATTATTAGGGAGGCTCTGGTACCTTAAATATTCCTGAAGACTCTTACTCAAGCAGTGCAACTATTTCTTAGAAATTTTCAGCCAATATGGCCGACGCGTGTACTAAAAACGGCCCAAAACTCACCACAAAATGGCCGCACTCCTGGACGTCTTCTTGAACCAAGAACYTCGACTCCTTGTCCATCTGCACACCAACAAACCTTATCACCATTGTCATGGTGATGGCACTGAACAGGCTCGTACGACCCRTCTGATTTGCACTCGGGAACGAATAGCCCTACCACAGGAAGCCCATCCGGTCCRAGTGCTTTTCGTCGTTGAATCTGACACGGACTTAGCCAAGCTAAAATAAAAGGATACTAATGTAGCTAATTCATTACTATGGTTAAGTCTTTTTTTCCTCTGTATTTCCGTAGATTTCCTTTCCATTGAAATAGTCTTTCATTGAATGACGTCATACCTGTTTTGTCGAAGTGCATCATGGTATATTGATGAGATAAACAAAATGGCGGATGCTATTAGGTTTAAGAACTGTTATTGAATTCACAAGTGCAACAATGTGGWCTCTTTTGCATCCATGCCTACATGGGCACTAAGTTTAGAATAGTGATACTCAATGTAACGTTAGCCTTTGTTATTCATGTGCCAACCAGAAGACGACTGACTGCTAGAACAAAGCAACTTTTGAAAAGCCATTCTGATCATGGTTGGAACATTAACATAAGAATGACTTTGTTGATAAACATTGAGCATCGCTATAGTTGAAATTTTTTGAGAGACTGAGGACTCATAGCATGATAACCTTCAATGCTTTAATAGTCGACTTTAGATATTTTGGTTCAGTGACCATTCACAAAAGAATTCCAGACGAGGCTCCGGGGAAATAAAATAATAAATCAAGATTATCCATTGTTTTCACGGAGCCTCGTGTGCGTTCTTTTTTGTACATAGTCATCGAGCCAAAATATCTAAAGTTGGCTATTAAAATCTTATGCAAAACTTAAGTTGGTCTTTTGAGTCAAAATTTGCACAAAAATTAACAGATTGAACTGTATAGAACCGACAAAACAAAATATTTTTACCACCCCGTCCCTCTCCACAGTTCCTCACTTACCCTCCCCTCCCTTCGTCTCTTAATTACCTAAAAGTCCACAATTAGGACGATGATTGGACGATGTCCTAGTGCCAGGCAACTCGTARCCATAGTGATCCACACACCAACATTCCCCCATGCTCTCGAGACACTGTAAGTCTACAAAACTTCCATCGTTTCCACATTTAGGRATGAAATGACCGGCTACTTGGTTGTCTTCGCATTCTTCCCGACGGAATTGACAAACTGTTTGGTTTGTAACTGAAAGAATAATAACTCCGTTAAGATTTGTGTGAAAATAACAACATATAGCAATGTTATTTGTAATCATATTGAAAATAATTAGCTCATCTGAAAATCAAGGATAAACCAAACAAAAAATCTTTGAAGATTTTCATGGTCATTAGAAAAATATTTTTTTACCACATACGTTAATTTTCTCGCTTTCTGATTGGTCGAGAGCCATGGTAAATAAAAGTACATACCACGCTCGCTACTTTGCTCGCGATAAACTTTGATACTTTAAAGATGGACTCCCGACTGAATTAAAATTCCTGACATGGCGGACAAAGCGAAAAAAGTATGTACCATGTCGATTCATTTAAATAAATGTTTCGGTTCAGTTTGAAATGAGATTTTAGTTGTTCTTTTAGCTTGTAAAACGCGCGCAGTACGAGTGGTAAAACAATCATTTTTGGTTTAAATTGACTGCCRATGTTAAATAACCGTAGTGACTTTAGGTTGTGCAATCTTTAATCACCCCGACAACTTTTTTCTGCTAAATATCATATACAACCGTGCACCATGGGCGAAATCCATGCACAACGTCAGTAGAACGTGCCTTACCATTGGTGCAATTCGGTCTTCCCCATTGTCTAGTGCCTGCTAGCTCGTTACCAGCTTTATCAACACACCAGCAGTACCCTGTGGCCGAGTGGCACTGGACTGGCTCAAATCGCCCGTCAGAAGTACACTGGGGCAGGAAGTAGCCTAAAGGTGTAACCCCTCGAAGGATCATGGATCGTTTGTATTCTCGATGACATTTGCTAAGCAAAGCTGAAATATGAGAAAGAAAAAAAGGAGTTTGTACATCAGTACATCTGTCATATAATCGAGAAATTTACTCTAAATCAAAATCATTCCTTGAATCATCTGGTTGAGAGTCAAAGTACCAAATAGCCGTCATTTGTAATTACTATAGTACGTAACCTGAGTTTCAATTCAGACGTGTCTGGGCACATTACTATTGACCAAACGGGTTAATTTTCTTACCTACTTGTGTGCAATTGGGAGTTCCTCGCTGCCTCGTTCCCATGATCTCGTTTCCATGGTGATCGACACACCAACAAACACTCCCAWAGCACTGGATCTCTTCGTAGCCGCCATCTTGTTTGCACGCGGGTTTGAATAGTCTTCTTCCATTGTCGAGAAGATCGGATTTGATGCTTTCTCTCTCGCATTGCGTTTTCCCTGAAACTAAACAAAAACAAAATCAGATCAAGGAATTATTGTCGTTCACGTGGGGTTCCTGTGTTTTTTAGGTTTGAACTTCCTTTACAGAATCTATGCCATATGTGGAAGCAAACAAGATGGCCGATTGTCTCAAAGCTATAATATCTACGATTTTCAGACGTGTTAAAACTTCTAAAGATACTTTAGATGTTACATGAATGACGCCAAAAGAAAGGCAACTTTCAAGTTTAAGGCTATTCATTGATATGTTTATCAAAATAATAGTCTTCTTCACGGTCSTCTGCGCCATCTTGAAAGGTAGCCGTGCCCTTATATCGAAGCGAGACAACCGTTGAGCGTGTAATGATAGATACCTGTGAATAATTGTCTGTAGGAGTGAAAGAAGGTTTCTATCATTGCACGCTCAATGGTCGTCTCGCTTCGATGTAAAGGCACAGCTACCTTTCAAGATGGCGCAGGGAACCGTGAAGAAGACTATTCAGCTTTTTCAGCTTTTCATTGCTACCTTTTCTATGACTCCTTAATCTATGAACGGCCTCTGTACAGTTAAGCTTTCCCCAACGCTGAGTTCCAGTGACGGGATATCCCGCGGGATCCACGCACCACCGAAACTCGGAATTTCCATTTGTTTGTGTAGCACGATAGTTTCCATTCGAATCACAATCGGGAGCATGTCGGCCAATGCTCGGAACCCCGGGGCCACCGAGAGCTTGAAGACGTTCTTTTAAGCATGCTGTTGTCCTGCCTTAAATAAATCGATTGCTTATTGGTTGGTTGTTTGGTAGGGCTGATCGGTTTCGTTGATTGGTTGGGTTAGTTGGTTGATTGATTGGTTGGTCTGTTGGTTGGTTGGTTGGTTGGTTGGTCGACTGTTGGTTGGTGGCATGGTCGCTTGGTTGGTTGGTGGGTTGGTTAGTTGGTTGGTTGGATGGTTGGTGGGTTGGTTGATTGGTTGGTTGGTTGCGTGGTTGGTTGGTGGGTGGGCGGGTGGGTGGGTGTTTTGGTTGGTTGGTTGGGTGATTGGTTGGTTGGTTTGCAGGTTTTGGTTGGTGGGTGGGTTGGTCACTTGGTTGGTCACTTGATTGGTCGATTGGTTGGTTGATGGGTTGGTTGGTTGGTTGGTGTATTGTTTAGTCGGTTGTGTGGTTGCGTGGCTGGTTGGTCGGTAGGTCGCTCGGTCGCTCGATCTTAACCTTCATACCTTGTACAATAGTACATACTGGAATACCCTGTACCCGTGTACCAGATCGTTCAACACCATCCTTATTGGCACACCAACAGTATCCACCATAGCACTGCATCGCTGAATATTCACCGTTACGATGGCATGATGGTCGGTATTGGTCGAGAAACTTCGTGACTCTTTGACGTTTGACTTCATAACACATGGGCAGAATACCTGTGCGTTTAAGAGATAATATTGTATAACTGGGCCTGCATAAACCATCTTGGGACGTGAACATAGTATTATACGTAGATTACTATAAAAGCCTTTAGAATAACAGCAAGAATAACTCGTAGCATCCAAAATTCTTTCTGTCTTTGAATCAAAGCGAGGCATTGGTTGCCCCAATGTTAAATAAATTAGAATTTWAAATGTCTATATTCGTGAACATCTCAACTCCTGTCTCGCTTTGATGCAAAGGCTCGGTTACCTTTCAGGATGGCGTTAATAGTCAAATTTAGATATTTTGGTTCGATGACTATGTACAAAAACAACGCACACGAGGCTCCGGGAAAACAATCGATAATCTTAATTTATTCTTTTATTTCCCCGGAGCCTCGTCTGCAATTCTTTTGTGCATGGTCACTGAACCAAAATATCTAGATTCAGTTATTGGAGTTATTAAATGGAGTCTACCTCCACACATTTCCCTGCACTTCTCATACGTTGCAAAATTGTTGGCGTTTCCACCACAACCGCTGTACGTGAACTGCAGGCACTGTCCAGTCAAACTGTTGTAGTACCACTTGCGTATATTAGCCAAGCAGCCAAGCCTTCCTGTCTGTACGGGGAKGTTACATAGCTTTTCGACTGAGAAGAAAAGGGAGGATTATATACACCCTTTTAAGAAGTCCCGAGGTTTTGTGTTCTCCGCACTTGACGTAAAATTCATTCTTTTGAATTCCTTTTGTATTGTAAAAATTTCAAAAGAATAAATTTGACGTCAAGTGCGGAGAACACAATGCCTCGGGACTTATTAAAAGGGTGTATAGGGCGGCAATTTTTTGATTTTTTTATTATTACTTATCATACCTTTTAAGTAATTTCTGGTGTCATTGTTAATTACGTGGACAATTTCTTTTCCATTCAATGCCAAGTTTTCATAGTCCTTCAAAGTAAACACGTTGCGAGGAGCCGATGCGATGTCCATCAACTCGGCTACGTCGACTTGGTTCGAGATTCCGATAGCATAGATATTGATGTTCTTTGATTGTAGATCTTCAGAAAGGGTTGACAGGGGTGTGTAGCGACCTTGGTTTGGTGCTTGTTGGTTATCAATTAAAACAATTAATACCTGGGTAATCAGAAGAGAATAGTCTCATTCACAGTTCCCTGCGCCATCTTGAAAAGTAGCCGTGCCTTTACATCGAAACGAGATGACCGTTGAGCGTGCAATGATAGATACCTGTGAATAATTGTCTGTAGGTGTGAAAGAAGGTTTCTATCATTGCACGCTCAACGGTCTTCTTGCTTCAATGAAAAGACACGGCTACCTTTCAAGAAGGCGCCAGGAACTGTGAAGGAGTCAGAATATTGAGTAAAGGAAATTAGAATGGAAAGCATAGCAGGGATTCAATACCCTAAAGGAATTTGGAAACTTGACAAAAACTGCTTGTATTATGAATACAGAGTTTATGAAGCACTGAGCTACATGGTACTTCACTTGAAGAATTTGAAATCTTATTAAAAAATATATTTGGGGTTTTAACCTTTAAAAAGTCTCTGATTTGGGGCCTTTGAGGTGATACCGTTGACTATAAAAAGTAGGTCCCTAACATTATAGATTCCTCATTTTGTAATTTCTTTCACATTTTCTCAGGCATCCCAACTTGAAAAAACGCCTTACCTTATCAGCCAAGCCTCTCATTCCACTGAGAACAGTAAATATCTGTTGGTCAATAAAATGGACGCCTCGATCGACCCTCGATGCACAAAAATCAATCTTCATATCATTAATAATCTTATTAGTGTTCTCAGCTGTAAAATCGTCTTCTGAATCAAATTTACTAAACGTCAAAGGAGCGTAGGGCGCTTCAGAGGAGACTACGAAACTGAAGTGAGTTCCACGATGCGACACTTCGAATGATGATACGAGAGAGCGAAGAAATGTCTGGATGGCACGGAGAGTTGTTTTGCTCGATGTCGGCGGGAAGAGTACTGCGATGTCCAGAGGTAAGGTGTTACTATCTGGAAAAATGAAGGTNCGCACTTGACGTAAAATTCATTCTTTTGAATTCCTTTTGTATTGTAAAAATTTCAAAAGAATAAATTTGACGTCAAGTGCGGAGAACACAATGCCTCGGGACTTATTAAAAGGGTGTATAGGGCGGCAATTTTTTGATTTTTTTATTATTACTTATCATACCTTTTAAGTAATTTCTGGTGTCATTGTTAATTACGTGGACAATTTCTTTTCCATTCAATGCCAAGTTTTCATAGTCCTTCAAAGTAAACACGTTGCGAGGAGCCGATGCGATGTCCATCAACTCGGCTACGTCGACTTGGTTCGAGATTCCGATAGCATAGATATTGATGTTCTTTGATTGTAGATCTTCAGAAAGGGTGGACAGGGGTGTGTGGCGACCTTGGTTTGGTGCTTGTTGGTTATCAATTAAAACAATTAATACCTGGGAAATCAGAAGAGAATAGTCTCATTCGCAGTTCACTGCGCCATCTTGAAAAGTAGCCGTGCCTTTTCATCGAAGCGAGACGACCGTTGGGCGTGCAATGATAGAAACCTGTGAATAATTGTATGTAGGTGTGAAAGAAGGTTTCTATCATTACACGCTCAACGGTCTTCTTGCTTCAATGAAAGGGCACGGTCACTTTTCAAGAAGGCGCCAGGAATTATGAAGGAGAATATTGAATAAAAGAAATTATAATAGAAAGCAGGGCAGGGATTCAATACCCTAACCGAATTTGGAAACTTGACAAAAACTGCTTGTATTATGAATACAGAGTTTATGAAGCACTGAGCTATATGGCACTGCATTTGAAGCATTTGCAGTCTTATTTACAAAGATATTTGAGGTTTTTTAAAACCTTTAAAAAATCTCTGATTCGGGGTCTTTGAGGTGATTGGTATCATTGACTATAACCCACCCCCTCTAAAGTAGGTCAAGATTTTGATCATCTGTTTTGACCTTCTCGCTAACATTTAGATTTCTCTTTTTTTTTCTCATTTTTTTTTCGTTCATATTTTCTCAGGCATCCCAACTTTAAAAAACTTCTTACCTTATCAGCCAAGCCTCTCATTCCACTGAGAACAGTAAATATCTGTTGGTCAATAAAATGGATGCCTCGATTGACCTTCGATGCACAAAAATCAATCTTCATATCATCAATAATCTTATTAATGTTCTCAGCAGTAAACTCATCTTCTGATCCAAATTTACTAAACGTCAAAGGAGAATAGGGCGCCTCAGATGAGACTACGAAACTGAAGTGAGTTCCACGATGCGACACTTCGAATGATGATACGAGAGAGCGAAGAAATGTCTGGATGGCACGGAGAGTTGTTTTGCTCGATGTCGGCGGGAAGAGTACTGCGATGTCCAGAGGTAAGGTGTTACTATCTGGAAAAAAGAAGGTGCGAGATTTGAAATGTTTATTAGCCTGAATATCTGCCTCTCTCAAAAGGAATTGGGGCGGAAAGACACGGGAGAAAGAACCTCTCTAAAGGTTTAATGGATTGTTTTACGTAAAATCCTATTAAAGGGTCATGGTCCACCAGCATTCAATGCGGTAATGTTTTAGATTTTTTTCATGCATGGAAAATGATGTGACTTCAAATATCCATTCGCGATCCATTCCATCAGTCGGTTTTAAGATCAAATCTTACAATCTATACATTCGTATAGCATAAAGGAATAATAAAGAGGAAGTCTTTGCTCATATTACGATGCATTTCTATTTTCAAACGTAAAAAAAAGTTCGAAAGGGTAACTAGTAAATGCTTTTCATTGCACGGTCAAATACAAACGACTGTATGTCAACGCTACGTTCAGACGTACTGCTTCATTTTGAAGCTCTCATCATGCAACTCTTTTACAGACAAGCTAAATAAATCAATAGTAAAATATCTATTTCACGGCGGATTTTTTTTCGCAAAATTTTCTTATTGCCAACCTGTCGGTGTGTCCTTGCACTGTTGATGTCCCCATGCTCTTGTRCCTATGATTTCACGTCCCTCTGTGTCCACACACCAGCATAATCCTGTACCTGTATGGCATTGCACTTCATTGTATTTCCCTTCATGGGTACATTGTGGTACATATCGAGAGGGACTTGGTTTACCGGTCATCCCCATGGCAACCACTCGGTGTCGTTCACATGACGTCATCTTGGCTAATAGAAGTAATATGCATTTTTATCAATGCAGTCCAATGTCATCCTGAAGTTTTTTTCTGTAATAGTACATGGAATGTCCAGCAGGAGAAAAGGAGGGAAGAAAAAGGAATAAGAAAAAAAAGGAAAGGAGGGAGGGAGGGAGGAGGGAGGGGGAGGGAGGGGAAGGAAGGAAGGGAGAGTGGAAGGAAGGAAGAAAGAAGGGAGGAAGAAAAGCAAGGAAGTAAAGAGGGTGGGAAGCAAAAAGGAAAGAAGGGAAAGAATCAAGAGAGGGAGCAAGGAAGAAGGAAGAAGAGAAGGAAGGAAAACGGAAGAACATCGAAGAAAGAAAAAGGAAGAAAGACAAGAAGACAAGAAGCAAGGAAAGAAGGCGATATATTTTACCTTTTGCAGTACAATCAGGTTTCGTTCCAAACGTAACACTCCCAATTATCTCAATACCATTTACATCAACACACCAACATTGCCCTGTGAGACCATGACACTGGATTTCTTCGAATCCACCCTCGACATTGCATCGAGGGATGAATAACTTCACTGGAGAATCCAGTGATTCTAGAGATCTTTGTCTTTCAGCCTGACATCTTGTTAGAGGTGCTGAAGGTAGAAGAGGCAAACATTTCTTCATCGGAATGTTATTGCTTTTGATAAACAAACTATAACTTTCGTTCTCTCCCTTGGTTCGAGTTTTTTTCCGGGTCTTTTTCGGTTTTTCCTCCCTCAGTAAAAACAAACCATTACTATCTGCTGTGCTCTGCGTTCAGTCGACGTTGCTATGTAAAGGAAGCGCCTAGCCGGCAGCACGCCTGTGTGTAAGTATATGTAAATTGTGTCTGTAATATAGCACTTCGACTTGAGAGCGCGTCGAGCTGCGTGTATCGCAGTTCAGCACCCGTGCTGCCATGAAGGACGATTAGCTCCCAACACCTTCTACCTTCCTAACCTTCCCAACTAAAATAACTGGGAAATTCAAATAAAATAACTGGGAAATGATACGCGCGTTAACTGGAAAGGCAAAAAGGGCGGGAAAAGTGGAACATCTCCAGAAGAAGTTCTAATCGGGACTCGCGCCAACCATTTTATATTCACTTTGCAGTTTCTGGAGATTTTAAACAACCGAAATTTAAGACTCACCTTTCGAAGGGCAAATCAACAGTCCAGTAGTCCTCATTCCATCTAGTTCCAATCCGTCTTTATCCACGCACCAGCATTGACCCTGTGTTGCGTCGCACTGTATCTCGTCATAGCTACCGTCTGTCTTACACCGTGGAGTGTAGCTATCGGATGTACGCGGGGTGTACTTTTGTCTAATTTGCTCCTGTTGGCATGGCGACGGAATGAGCCCTGGAGAAGCTAAAATTGTACATAAACTTTTTATACGGAGAAGCAAATTTTGTTCAGTATTGGTGAGATGAGATGTCAATTGACCGATCCCGATCCATTGTCCTACCTTCTACTGTTGCTACGTCAGACAAGCGAGTTCCTTTGATATAGAGCATGGAAAAGATACCGATTGCTGCGATATATAGGAATTTCCTTGCGTTATATGTTTGTTTTTACATTTTCATCAGGNCAAACCATTACTATCTGCTGTGCTCTGCGTTCAGTCGACGTTGCTATGTAAAGGAAGCGCCTAGCCGGCAGCACGCCTGTGTGTAAGTATATGTAAATTGTGTCTGTAATATAGCACTTCGACTTGAGAGCGCGTCGAGCTGCGTGTATCGCAGTTCAGCACCCGTGCTGCCATGAAGGACGATTAGCTCCCAACACCTTCTACCTTCCTAACCTTCCCAACTAAAATAACTGGGAAATTCAAATAAAATAACTGGGAAATGATACGCGCGTTAACTGGAAAGGCAAAAAGGGCGGGAAAAGTGGAACATCTCCAGAAGAAGTTCTAATCGGGACTCGCGCCAACCATTTTATATTCACTTTGCAGTTTCTGGAGATTTTAAACAACCGAAATTTAAGACTCACCTTTCGAAGGGCAAATCAACAGTCCAGTAGTCCTCATTCCATCTAGTTCCAATCCGTCTTTATCCACGCACCAGCATTGACCCTGTGTTGCGTCGCACTGTATCTCGTCATAGCTACCGTCTGTCTTACACCGTGGAGTGTAGCTATCGGATGTACGCGGGGTGTACTTTTGTCTAATTTGCTCCTGTTGGCATGGCGACGGAATGAGCCCTGGAGAAGCTAAAATTGTACATAAACTTTTTATACGGAGAAGCAAATTTTGTTCAGTATTGGTGAGATGAGATGTCAATTGACCGATCCCGATCCATTGTCCTACCTTCTACTGTTGCTACGTCAGACAAGCGAGTTCCTTTGATATAGAGCATGGAAAAGATACCGATTGCTGCGATATATAGGAWTTTCCTTGYGTTATATGTTTGTTTTTACATTTTCATCAGGAAAAGCTAATGAATACACMTTTTCAGTTGCACTTAGGCCTCGATAGCAAGTTAATTATTCTTTTGAATTTKACAAATGAGACTATTCATATCAATGKTTGCATTGCTCACATTCCTACAAATTCAAAAGAATATTTAACACGCTGTCGAGRGCTAAGAGCAACTGAAAAGGTGTATTTAGTAAAAATATTCGATTTTGTCTTTGTTGCTCGGGAAATCTGCTCAGTGCTTGGTGATTTATCTATGTGAAGAAGGGATTGGTGAATTACATTCCCATCTTACACAACCTTTGCTACCTCGAGATCGACATGAGCTCTCTATGCTTGGGATCCATGTGATTCCTACCTGCCGCTTTGCAGTTTGGCTTTTCCTCCATAACGCTAACAGTCGTGCCCAGGATTTCAAGGCCAAGGTCATTCACGCAAAAGTACCGCGAACCCTGGACCTGGAGTTGTTCATAAGCTCCGTTCCTCGTACACCAAGGGGTGAAAGATCCTTGTAGGGACGTATTGGATGATCTAATATAGTCCCTCCAGCATGCAGTAACACCTGGATGATGAAGAAAGGTAAGATATCAATAGACCCTTTGCCACGATGGCCGCCTCTCATAGCAGAAAACCCAAGACAAATTGAAAATAATTGTATGAACTGCAGGTTAGAGCAAACGCAGGAAAACCATAAAATAAAATCAAACTAAACACTAACAAATAGCGGCTATTAGACACAATTTGTCAGTATCAAGATGAATCCACATGGGATCATTTTCAATTCATCTTTATTGTGTTTTGGTTCATTGATACTGACAAATTGTCTCTAAATAGCTGTATTTGTTGGTACTTTAGTTTGATTTTATTATGGTTTTCTTGTGTTTGCTCTAGCAGAGAATAAATTGAAAATGTATAGTTGTATAAACTGCAGGTTAAGAGTATATCATTCTCTTTTTTCTTACCGAGACCAGTGCATTGTGGGATTCCTTTAGTGCGCGTGTCCYCAATTTCTTCTCCGCTGGTCTCCACACACCAGCATTCGCCTGTGATATTGTTACATTGTATGGGCTCAAACTGGCCATCTTTAGTACACCTCGCTACAAACCCATTCACATTKGAAGGGTTTAGGATTGCTTCCTGTAGATACTGTTGGCATACCGTTAGCGATGCAGCTGTAAAAGGAAAAGATGTAAAGSCATKTYCACGTYCCTCATGGTCAGCGGCGAAGCATTTGCGTCTAAAAAGTCTACGCAGTTCTCAGCGCCATCTTGAAATGTAGCCGCGCTTTGCATCGAAGCGAGACGACCKTTGAGCGGGTAATGATAAATATCTTTGAATAATTGTCTGTCGATATGTGAAAAAATGTTTTTATCATTTGCACGCTCAACGGTTGTCTTAATTACTTTGATGCAAAGGCTTGGCTTATCTTTCAAGATGGCGCAGTGAACAGTGTAGGAGTTTATTAAAACTGAAGAAAACTGGTTTTTGACAACTACATGTGGGCTCAATACTGAGAAACACCATCTTAACGAAGGCCGYAACAACTTTGTCTTACAGTTCAACTAGTTGTTTGCTTTTCAAGTAACTGGCCGGGTCCTTCATATTGAAATAGTCAGTAAACTTCTAGTCAGTAACAGACACACACTAACATTAAATTCTTTTAAGATTAAAATGTTTCACGAGTCAGGAATTTGTGCACTCGTACACAATGAAAAGACGCCAGTGGTTCACACATTTTGATTGGTTCTTTATCACAAAAAGTAGTACGTGCAATACGATTGGCTGAAATCAGTATTTCCACTTACATTCCTTCTCGCAGTTCGGTTTACCGTCGATAAAATTCTTTCTCGTTCCCRGTATCTCAACACCTCGGCTGTTAACGCAATAACACTGGGAACCATAGCACTGAATATCACGGTAAGAACCRTCCGCGTTGCAACTGGGCTCGAGCTGACGATGGTCGTCTGAGTGAATGTACAATTGGAGCTGTTGTTGACATAGCGTAGGGCTGTTARCTAAAATAATAGAGTATTTTAAATAGTATCTGGCGATATATTTCTATACATTCTTTGATTACATGAACTAGAATGAGGGTACAACATTAGACTTTAGTCGAAAAAAACAAGAACTGGTCGGCGAAGTACTCTGACCGCGTTGCAAATTCAATGAAACTTTTCTTTTTGTGAAATTGTGTTATTATAAGAGCTTAGAAAGACATAGTTTATAATACAAACTATCTTTAAACATAAAATAAATATATATAATTTGAGCATATTTTGACTGCAAAAGAAAAGAAGTTCGTTTCTAAACAGTTTTCGAGGAGGTTGTAAAAAAGGCGGGAAATACACAAATCTTGACGCGCGCGCGCGCTTGGCAATGTAAATCATATCTTCGCATGAAGGCAAATAAAACAAAGAAACACATCAACTGTTTATTCTATATAAAATATTTCTTCATAATGAAAGCTTTTTCATTACCTAATTGTTGACAATTTGGTCGCTCTTTGTTACCAGAAATTCTAGAATTAGCAATTTCCACGCCATATTCATTGACACAATAACAGTTGTCTTTTAAACACTGAATTGGATCGTAATGGCCATCACTTGTACACTGCGGGACAAAGTTAGGTGCAAAGGAGCGACGGAGAGTTTTCTGGTACGCTTGCTGGCATGATGTTAGAACATTACCTGGAAAAGAGTGGTTTTCATTTGCCAATAAAGTAAAATAATTAAAAGTATAATAATTAAAACTCAAATCAATCAATCTCATATTTCATAGAATGAAGTCATAAAACACGTGTAAAGTTTTATAGGATATCACATGGGCGCGCGGAGATACGGATTTTATCTTCGAGTGTTGAAAAGATCTCTCACGAGTGAGCGTATTTAACGAGTGAGAGATTTTCAACACGAGAAGATAAAATTCGTGTCTCCAAGCGATCATGTTATATTCTGTTTATCATATAATTACGTACGAAAGCAAATTATGTCGTAAAATACCTTTTTTCTTACTTCCACTATATAGAGAAACCTCGAACTAGTGAAAATAACAACTTTACGTAATGGAGAAATATAGGTATTTTATAAAGATAATTATATGATAAATTAGAATAATACACCTTATAGTACGCTCTAATTGCATGCATTGTTTTCTGTGTCTATTTGACTATCACACTTTAATAGTCAASTTTTGTTTCACGGGTTKAWTGAYCCTRCTCTACWGAGATGCTAMTTYARTCAAACCTTCAGATGGACATTTGATATAACCCTTGGTTCTTGTCTTGGTGACTTCTCGGCCTTGTTCRTCAACRCACCAGCATTCTTTACGAAAACGACTGCACTGTACTTCCTCATAGCTACCGTCGCGCTTACACCGAGGCGCCTCRCGCTGTTTTGATACCTCGCTAAGCTTCTTGTRGACTTCTTGTTGRCACAGAGTAAGGTACTTCTTTTCTAAAGAATAATAAAATAATAAAATTCAATTCATTATTAGTTCAAAAGGCAAATATGGAAATATGACTTAATCTGTAAGTCTATGTTGCTGCGGGTGGCTTGCAGTTTAAGGGGTGACAGCCGACTAACAGCAATGCAGAATACGTGTCTGTACATCCATAGGCCGCCCAACTATTGCTTGAGAGAAAGACGGAAAAGAACGCATGCGCACGCTTTTATCGCATTGGAGCGCGCTTTGTGGATTACCTGTGGTATTGCGTTATACTTTTGATCCCTCGATTGAAGGGTTCATAACGTAATACCACAGGTAATCCGCATTTTGCTAAGAGCGCCGATAATAAAAGCGTGCGCATTTCTCTCTCTATCAAGCCTCAAGCAATAGTTGGTCGGCCTATGGTACATCAGCAAGAGATTGGCCCTGATTTGAAGACCAGAATTTTCTCATTAACTATGGCATTTGATCTATTATAGTTTTTAGCTAAGTATTCCTTAGTTAAAGTTGGATTTTGATAGTCGAGTGAAGTTCACATTCGTCTATTCTACTGCCTCTCACCTTTTCGATTRCATASRGGTTTTCCAGTCAACCTGTTCAGTCTCGTGCCATCAATCTCTYTSCCTTTTTCGTCCACGCAGAAGCAGTAMGACTGTTTGCATTGAACGGGCTCAAATTCACCTCCMAGAGTGCACCGCGGTTTCATTTGTTCAGGTGATAACTTTCGTACGTAAGCAAGGTACTTTTGTTGGCATGGTAACAATTTTCGTCCTACATCATAAATATTGGTTTTAATTCCACTGAAAATGATAATATTGAAAAGTTGATACGAAATGTCACACCCGCGTTGTTGAATGATAACAAAGCATTCCTCTTAAAGGGCCATGATCCACCAACATCCCTTTCGAGCTTTGTTTATGTTTGAAAAAAGAAATGCATCGTAATATAAGCAAAAGCTTATTCCTTATATTATCATTTTATACTATATGAATGGAGATTCTGTTTAGATTCGACTTTTAAACCGATGGATGGAAACGGATGGCGAATAGATATTCGAAGTCACCTCATTTTCCATGTGAAAAATCTAAAACACGACCGCATTGAATGCTGGTGAACCATGGCCCTTTCAGTTTCGCTTAATCTTTAATCCAAGGGATTAATGCAAATGTGTTCTGTGGTCAAGTAAATGAACGCACCTATCACGGGGCACTTTATTCCTTTAGTCGTCCTTGTCCCTGGCAGCTCTTTTCCATTCTCGTCGACGCACCAGCATAATGATGTACCTGCCTGGCATTGTACCTCTTCGTACTGACCGTCTGTTTTACATCTCGGTACACGACTACCCAAGAAGCCTGACAGCATAGCGCCTCGATATTGAAGCTGGCATGGAGTTAAATTGTCCCCTGGAAGGAAACAACCGCTACTAAATCGATCAAAATTAGTGAAACTCTCTGAATTAAAACTATACAATTGGATTAACTGAAAGCGCAACATTTTCTAGCCATTGGCATTAATTCTATTAAAAAAACTTCGAATATCGAGTAGTACTGTGACTGAACATAGTGTATTTCAAACTTAAGGAAATATTCAACTGGCGAAAACGTGTTTTCGCTCTAAAGGCCCGTTTMCACTTGCGATTTTTGAGAGCGATTCTAGCGGCAATCGTCGCGCGASCATCGCCTGAGTTTCGAACATGCTTGAAAATTGGCTGCAACTTCGCAACGATTTTACATCGCAGGGCTGTTTAACCGTACGATTTTAGATACGCGATAGCAAAGTGGCGATTATTGCGCGACAATCGCATTTGAAAAATCGCAAGTGCAAACAGGCGTTAAAATGGATCAAAAGGGAAAAACTGTAGCGAGTATTTCTCTGCTTCTCGTGTGCTCTCTGCAATCTCACAATACAGCAGACAAGAAAAAAAATACAATAAAAGAACTGCTTACCAGAAGACTGACAGTTTGGTCTTCCTGTGGCTATGCTAAGTTTACTACCAGGCACTTCAACGCCGTTCTCTGTCACGCAATAACAGAACGACCCATGACACTGCATAGGATTATATTTCCCGTCATCCCTGCACCATGGTAACCGCCTAGATCTCCTTGACGACCGTAACGCTGCTACGTATTCCACCCAGCATTGACTGCTGCCTTTTTTCTTATTTGGAGAGCCTATAAAGAAAGTAACGCATTCCTTGTTTTCAATAACGTCAACCTCTCGTTCCTTACGCCTGGGAACGAGTGTGGTTAGAGCCTGTAAGCCCCCGGATGTGATGCAGACTAGACTTTTGATTGACAATCTRAAGAGACGCCATTTTGTATAGCAAAGCATTATGGGAGATGTAGACCWCGAAATTTTTATGTTCGTTGAATGAGAACAGTTCTCCTAAACGCTTTCTCCTAACTCGTTTCTGATTTTTCTTTACAAAAATAGAACTAGTCATTCTGCCGTTTCTACAAAAAAAAAAAAAAAAAAAAGCACCAAAAGGATTAGAACTCTCAAGAAAATAAACATCCAAWTCCATTTTTGATTCCTTTGCCTAAACGGCAAAAATATACTTGCATCTATGCAAAAAAACTCACAATTAAGTATTTGAACGGAYATGAAAACGCGCTCGAGAAACTGACGTCATTGGCTATAATCCTCGCGCGTGATCTTCCCAGACGTAGACGKAGCTTGAGAAAGAKACGGAGCAGTACTRCGATGGGCTCCTGGTAATTCTAAAACCAGCTTACCTTTACGAGCACATATAACAGGACCTTTAGACTCTGTTTCTTTGATCTTGTTGCCTTGATTGTCTGTACACCAACATAGGCTCGTAGTGTGTTCACATTGAATGGCTGGCCAGCTACCATCTGGCAAACACCGTGGCACAAACTTGTTCGTCTTCATGGATAAGTAACGTGCTTTCTCGCACGGCGTAACGTTGCTATCTGATCAAATTATAAAAAGAAAGCAGAGTGTTTAAAGTTTGGTAATAAGGTTGGTCGTACGTTCTTCTCTTATAGATATTCAATGTTATAGGCTCCGTCTTTTTCTGTTCGAGACAACAACAGATATACAAACTCATGATAAACTATGATAAACTCAACCAAATCGGCTGAAACTTCTCCAGGGGATTGTTGCATACATCAATAATAGGATGTGAGAGTTTTGCGTGATTTCGTTGAAATTCAAATTTGAAATTCACGATTCAATAACATCTTACAAAATCTTCAAAATAATGATAAAATATAGAGGGAGAGGGGGAGGGTTGGTTACACAAGAAACACTGATAAAGGGCCGGCCAGGCGATCTGCGCGCGTGCAGGAAGCAGGCCTGGTGGATTCAATGAAGGCACCATCCCATCATTATTATTGTGGTCTGGAAGAAGAATTCGTCTACTGCGCGAAAGGCAAAATTTAATCGTTTAACTTAAAATATGTGCCGGTTTGTAAGGTAAATTTCCACTTTTACTCGTTCTTTTTCGAATTTAATACTGTGAGAAGGAAAATATTCTCAGCTTGCAATGCTTTGTGGGATGGTGCCTTCCTTCAGTCTGAAACTGCGCGCTGATTGGCTAAGATCAAACACGACACGTGATCTATTGTCCGATCGCCTAGCTGTGCTCCCTCTGGAGGTAACAGAGAAATATTCACCTGGATGAGTACARTTAGGTTTTCTTCCTAGACCATTTACTCTAGTATGCGGAATTTCAACACCGTTGTTGTCCACACAGTGACATGTTCGTCCATGACACTGGATTTCCTCATAGCTGCCGTCGGGCTTACAGCGCGGTGCATGGTGGTTAATTTTGTAAGTTAGTCTCTTCATTGAATGCTGGTATCGACGTTGGCATTGTGATAGTTTAGAATCTAAGAAAAAGAGACAAAAACGACGTCAAGAAATGCGCATGCGAAGAAAAGGAAAATCAATGAATGGAAGAGTTGGGAAGCTCAGCAATGAAAAGAGATTAGAGACATTCAATGCAAGGTCGAACTGAAGAAGGCCTGCTGCATTAACAYATAATCCCTTCAAATTGATAAGAAAAATTTCGAAGATACGATTTGTGACGTCGCACGACGATATCAATAGTCTATTTCACGGTTCCCTACGCCATCTTGAAGGGTAGCTTTGCCTTTGCATCGAAGCAAAACGACCGTTTAGCGTGCAATGATAGAAACCTTCTTTCACTCCTACAGACAATTATTCACAGGTATCTATCATTGCACGCTCAACGGTTGTCTCGCTTCGATGTAAAGGCACGGCTACCTTTCAAGATGGCGTAGGGAACCGTGAAGAAGACTATTGCTATTTTCTAAACAATCTAACGTGGAGTTTAATAACAACAATGCCTTTCAGTCTTGGAATACACTATGCAGTATTCAGAATTCAACGTTTTCTGAAGTATTTGTAAACATTTATACCTATGTCAGGACATATGAGGTTCCCTTGCACCTTTGAGCCCGCGATCTCCATGCCTTTTCTGTCCACACACCAGCATGCTTTGGTATCGGGGTCACACTGGACATGCTCAAAACGACCATCTTCAGTGCACTGTGGTATGAAGTTCGACATCTCTGGGTGTCTAATGGCTTCTTGGTGCATTCGCTGGCAAAGTGTAAGACCACCTACAACATTRTAATAAAGATTAAATGGACAGTGAWATCAGTTAAAAACAAGGGCGTGAAGTRCGATGAATGGGATGAATGAGGGACRACGCTGAAACGGCGGTTAAAGAATTAGAATTAGAATTGTTGTACTCTGGAATGGAAGGAAAGGGGAAGGAAGGAAGAAGAAATGAAAGGAGAAATGAAAGAAAGCTTTAGAAGGCAAGAAGTAAATTCAAAAGGCAGAATGAAGGACAACAACAGTTTAAAAATATTCTACAGCGAGATGGACGCGTACGCGATCATGATGGGTGTATGATTGATGAACAAGCCGACGAGGATATCATTTTTCAATCTCTAACCTGATGACAAACACTGCGGAAATCCCAGTGTTATGGTTATGTCTGTTCCACGGCGTAATTCYCCCGTTTCTTGGTCAACGCAAGAGCACGTTACGTTGCTATCGCCACGACACTGAACGGGAAGGTAACGACCATCCGTAGCGCACTGCGTAACAAACCCATCGTTACGTGGGGACTTGGCATTCTCTATGTAATGACTTTGACAATTCGTCAATTCGGCATCTGAGAATAAAAGTAAACAAGATTATCAATAGACTATACGAGGTAACGCTTGCTTACGCGAGGTCAAAACCGTTCTATTAACGCTGCGTTTACACAACGCTTCCAAATCATAAGATGTCCCTGTACTTAATTTATAAGAAACACTACACCTTAGTTGGGTTTACATTTAAATATTTTCCGTTTCCTTAACAATAATGCAGGCCATATAATCTTGCGTTGTTTTATGCAATGCTTCTCGGCGTTTCTCCGATTCTTAACAAACATCAAGATGTAAATACTTTACGCAATGCTTACGTTCGCGATATGCGTGTTTTTTGTGCTGCAGTTGAAGTTTGTCACCGCGCAAAAGTTACGTACCTAATGAGGGACACATTAAAGGTCCACGAGTCCGCGTTCCACTCATCTCATTGCCAGCGGCATCGACACACCAGCACTGTCCGGTAAGCGGGCTACACTGGACGTTCTGGTAAGTGCCGTCGGATTTGCATTGCGGAACGTGTTGACCAGAGAAGGGGTTTTTGTCGAGGGTCTTTCTCTGGGTGAGACAGTGGTTTACTAAGAAAAGTGGAACAGAAAATAACAGTAAACTTGCTTTGATCAATTTTACTTGTTTCATTTTTTTTTTTCTTTTTCTTCTTTTTTCATTTTCTCGATAGTCTTTCTATGGGAGTGGTACTAAATCCGCCAAACTGGATGGCAAAACCTCAAAAACAAAAGGAACGTAGCCCGTTAAGCTTGACTTTTCTTTGTTTTGAACATCCCACTGGGTATTTTTCCCTCAAGCATGGTGGATTTAGTACCATGCGACCGTTTCATGCAAAAGGTCTTTTAGATCAAAAGTCAAGTGCTGTGCACTGCATTTGCACTGATTTCGGAGCATTTGAGAAACAACATCACTTATACTACCTTTTGAAGTACAGTTGATGTATTGTCCATTCGGTACCCTGGTTCCTTGCATTTCGACGCCATTCTCATCCATACAAAAACAAACTGAGGCATGGCACTGGGTCTTTTGAAATTCTCCTCTTGAAGTGCATCTTGGTCTAAATAGTCCTTTCCTGTGGCTGTTCACTGCATTCATGTAGAGCTTGATACAAGGAGATAAATACCCTTTCTGTGCTGAGAGATGAGAATTGAATGGCTAAGCACGATGACAAATAGGATGGGATAATTAAAACGGGATAAAATGGAGGTAGGGAATAAACGGTCCAATAATGCATAGTTCCAAAAATACGTTGAAATTCCTATTTTTGAATAATTCAATGATCATAAAGGATTACATTTCCAAAACTACGTTGAAATTCCTTGATTTAAATAATTCAATGATCATAATGGATTAAATAAGTTAGTATAAAAGAGAAACCATCAAAATTCTTAAGAATAACCTTAAAAACGAGGGAAGTTATCATTGACAAACTCATTCTAGGGCTTTTCTGACTCGCATTTTCCAAAATGTTGTACAGAGAAAGCCCTGCCAGGCAGGTCACGTTTTTATTCAATACCGATACAACATAAGACCCTAGAAAAAGACCCTGGAAAAAGGCACTGGAAATGAGGTTGGATGATTGAACGCACCGATGAATGACTGAATGGATTGACGGATTGATCGATTACAAATATCAAAGATTACGCAAAATTTTCCACGGTTCTCTGCATCAAAGTGAGACGACTGTTGAGCGTGCAATGATAGATACCTGTGAATAATTGTCTACAAGTGTGAAAGAAGGTTTCTATCATTATTGCAAGAATCTCCGGTGGCCTCGTTTAAATGCAAAGGTGCGGCTACCTTTCAAGATGGCGCAGGGAAATGTCAATACATGATGAAACCAACGAAAAGCCACGTCAATTAAGTGCGCAACAAAACCCCTCCCCCTAACGGTATACACATTACCTCTGCACTTAGCTTCACATGACAGCTTTGAAAAAAATCGGTTTGCATTGCCACGGCAACCGCCGTAGATAAATCTCGTGCATTGAGCTTTGTCTTTATCGTAATGCCATCTTGGGATGTATGCTTTGCATGGGCCTCTCTTCTTCGGTAACTGACAGATGTCACCAGCTTAAAGACACGGTAAAATAGATACATAAGGCTTATTTAACATGTATACATTCATCAGTACTTTCGGAGAACAATGCGTCCGCTATCTTGAAAAGTGGGACCATCCCACTTTTCGAATCACTAAATTATAACTTCTAAAGGATTTAAAAACTTCTCAGCTAATGTCAAGTCATTATTATACGATATAATGATAGATTAGTTGACTTAGCAACTACGAAATGTGTTCTTAGGCACAACATAGTAATTCCGGTCTCACTTTTCAAGATGGCGGACGCATTCTTCTCCGAAAGTACGTATAAGTACTGCTAACATTTTGTCTGCACGAAAGGGGTGCTTTCATGAGATAGGGTGCACCATCGTAGGACATAGGGCTAACACCTTGTTTTAATGGGGGAAACTAGCGGTAAACTAGTGTGAGCTGCGTCGGTGTTTCTAAAGAAGGACTCCGACGAAGGATTAACGTCCCAAACGTCAGTTGTTCAACGTATTTTTCACGGTTTTAAACTTATCTTTTTACGCAACTGTCTTTTCTTAATCCCCAGCTTAGGCAGTACGCGTTAAAAGTGCCTAAAACTATACCGCACGTCAGCTAGCTATAGTGCATACATTTATACGACACCTGCATCAAAGAAGTCTGCTTAACAGAATTAATTCTTACCCCAGTGGCCACAAGCTGATTTGCACTGCTTCTCCTTCTTAAAGTTATTCTCATTTCTTCCACAACCGCTGTATACAAAGGGCTGACATGTTCGTGTCGCGGCATCAAAATACCACCTGACGTCATGTTGGGTGCAGTAGCCATAGCGAAGAGGAAGGAGACATGATGCCTTGGTTCGTTTACTGTAGTCCAGGTTCATATTCTCTGAATCGTCTGAACAAACAACCAATAATCAAGTAATAAGACGATAACCACTGCGAGTCCAGGTTAAGTCAATCTAATGTTCTGTGTGGAATTTTGCCTTGGAACATATTTTCATCAGCGCCGTGATTCACTATTTAAGACTTGNATCTCCAACCTGATGACAAACACTGCGGAAATCCCAGTGTTATGCTTATGTCTGTTCCACGGCGTAATTCCCCCGTTTCTTGGTCAACGCAAGAGCACGTTACGTTGCTATCGCCACGACACTGAACGGGAAGGTAACGACCATCCGTAGCGCACTGCGTAACAAACCCATCGTTACGTGGGGACTTGGCATTCTCTATGTAATGACTTTGACAATTCGTCAATTCGGCATCTGAGAATTAAAGTAAACAAAATTATCAATACGCATTATACCAGGTAACGCTTGCTTACGCGAGGTCAAAACCGTTCTATCAACGCTGCGTTTACGCAACGCTTCCAAATCATAAGATGTTCCTGCTTAACTTTTAAGAAATTTCCCTGTTTTCTTTTCACAATAATGCAACAGAATGCAATCCATATAATCTTGCGTTGTTTTACGTAATGCTTCTTGGCGTTTCTCCGATTCTTAACAAACATCAAGACGTAAATACTTTACGCAATGCTTACGTTCGCGATATGCGTGTTTTTTGTGTGCTGCAGTTGAAGTTTGTCACCGCGCAAAAGTTACGTACCTAATGAGGGACACATTAAAGGTCCACGAGTCCTCGTTCCACTCATCTCATTGCCAGCGGCATCGACACACCAGCACTGTCCGGTAAGCGGGCTACACTGGACGTTATGGTACGTCCCGTCGGATTTGCATTGCGGAACGTGTTGACCGGAGAAGGGGTTTTTGTCGAGGGTCTTTCTCTGGGTGAGACAGTGGTTTACTAAGGAAAGTGGAACAGGAAATTACAGTAAACTTGCTTTGATCATTTTTACTTGTTTCATTTTCTTTTTCTTTTTCTTTTTTTCTTCTTCTTCTTTTTTCATTTTCTCGAGAGTCTTTCTATGGGAGTGGTACTAATTCCGCCAAACTGGATGGCAAAACCTCAAAAACAAAAGGAATGTAGCCCGTCAAGCTTGACTTTTCTTTGTTTTGAACATCCCAGTGGGTATTTTGCCATCCAGTATGGCGGATGTAGTACCATGTGACGGTTTCATGCAAAAGGCCTTTTAGATCAAAAGTCAAGTGCTCTGCACTGCATTTGCACTGATTTCGGAGCATTTGAAAAACAACATAACTTACAATACCTTTTGAAGTACAGTTGATGTATTGTCCATTCGGTACCCTGGTTCCTTGCATTTCGACGCCATTCTCATCCATACAGAAACAAACTGAGGCATGGCACTGGGTCTTTTGAAATTCTCCTCTTGAAGTGCATCTTGGTCTGAATAGTCCTTTCCTGTGGCTGTTCACTGCATTCATGTAGAGCTTGATACAAGGAGATAAATACCCTTTCTGTGCTGAGAGATGAGAATTGAATGGCTAAGCACGATGACAAATAGGATGGGATAAATAAAACGGGATAAATGAAGGAATGAATAAACGATCCAAGAATGCATCGGTAAACGAGGGAAAGTATAATAGACCTAATCGGCTAACAGCGTTGCTATATACGTTGCCACCCAATTCAAATCTTGTAGGAAAAAGAAGTTTTGTTTCTAAGAATTCAACTGTGAAATGAAAATACAACGAACAATGAAACTTACTCCCGGGTGGTTTAAGTTGGGTTGAAGCCGATTAGGTCTACTGACAAAGTAACTCTTTCTGACTCGCAATTTTGAAAATGGTGTACAGAGAAAGCCCTGCCAGGCAGGCTCACGTTTTTATACAATACCGATATAACATAAGACCCTAGAAAGAGACCCTGGAAAAAGGCACTGGAAATGAGGTTGGATGATTGAACGTACCAAGGAATGACTAACTGGATTGACGGATTGATCGATTACAAAATATATATCAAAGATTGTGCAATATTCTCCACGGTTCTCTGCATCAAAGTGAGACGACTGCTGAGCGTGCAATGATAGATACCAGTGAATAATTGTCTACAAGTGTGAAAGAAGATTTCTATCATAGAAATAGCTTATCCGGTGGTCTTGTTTCAATGCAAAGGCACAGCTACTTTTCAATACGGCGCAGAAATGTCAATACATGAACAAACGAAAGTTACTTCAATTAAGTGCGCAACAAACCCTCCTACCCCCTACCCCCTAACGGTATACACATTACCTCTGCACTTAGCTTCACATGACAGCTTCGAAGAGAACCGGTTTGCATTGCCACGGCAACCGCCGTAGATAAATCTCGTGCATTGAGCTTTGTCTTTATCGTAATGCCATCTTGGGATATATGCCTTGCATGGGCCTCTCTTCTTCGGTAACTGACAGATGTCACCAGCTTAAAGACACGATAAAATAGATACATAAGGCTTATTTAACATGTATACATTCATCAGTACTTTCGGAGAACAATGCGTCCGCCATCTTGAAAAGTGGGACTCGAATCACTAAATTATAACTTCTAAGGGATTTAAAAACTTCTCAGCTAATGTCAAGTCATTATTATACGATATAATGATAGATTAGTTAACTACGAAATGTGCTCTAAGGCACAACATAGTGATTCTTTCGGACGCATTCTTCTCCGAAAGAACGTATAAGTACTGCTAACATTTTGTCTGCACGAAAGGGGTGTTTTCATGAGATAGGGTGCACCATCGCAGGACATAGGGCTAAAATCTTTTTTTTTTAATGGTGGAAACTAGCGGTAAACTACTGTGAGCTGCGTCGGTGTTTCTAAAGAAGGACTCCGACGAAGGATTAACGTCCGAAACGTCAGTTGTTCAACGTATTTTTTACGGTTTTAAACTTATCTTTTTACACAACTGTCCTTTTTGATCCCTTGCTTAGGCAGTACGCGTTAAAAGTACCTAAAACTAAACTGTGCGTCAGCTAGTTGTAGTGCGTACATTTATAGGACACTTGTATCTAAGAAGTCTGCTTAAGAGAATTAATTCTTACCCCAGTGGCCACAAGCTGATTTACACTGCTTCTCCGTCTTAAAGTTATTCTCATTTCTACCACAACCACTGTACACAAAGGGCTGACATGTTCGTGTCGCGGCGTCAAAATACCACCTGACGTCATGTTGAGTGCAGTAACCATAGCGAAGAGGAAGGAGGCATGATGCCTTGGGTCGCTTACTGTAGTCCAGGTTCATATTCTCTGTATCGTCTGAAAAAACAAGCAACAATCAAGTTGGTCATGTAGTCAGGCATAACATGATTCATTATTTAAGACTTGAGTTTTGAGAGATTCTGCATATAATATTTCCCCGTCATTTATTCTGAATATTATATTATTACAGCGAAAATTTATCATTCGGATCTGATTCGCATTGCACTCTGAGAATCTAAAAAGTCACTTCGCATTCTAGAAAGAAAAAAAGGACAATTAAGTTTATGTTACAATTAAAACAAAGAAAAGAATTGTTAGACTTCCTCGAATCAAGAATCGAGCCCGTGATCCTCACAGTTTGACGCCGCTATTTGAGTATGATCGTGTGTGTGAAATAGTCTCCTTCACGGTTCCCTGCGCCATCTTGAAAGGGAGCCGTGCCTTTGCATTGAGTGCAATGATAGAAACCTTCTTTCACACCTACAGACAATTATTCACAGGTATCTATCATTGCATGCTCAACGGTTGTCTCGCTTCGATGTAAAGGCGCGGCTACCTTTCAAGATGGCGCAGGGAACCTCGAGGCGACTATTAATCCGACTATTCTCATAATTTCACCACCAAAAAAATGTACTTACAATCAACTGTTATTTTGACAAATGCTTCGACGATAGATAATCCATTATACGCTTCACATCTGTAGGTACCCTCGTCTGCGACTCGAACTTGCGGTATGACCAGCGTGTCTTTAATGGGGATCATGCGCGGTGGGAGACTGTCCATTTCAAGTTTTGTCCAAGTAATTGATATAGGGTCACCAAGGAATAAACACTGTATTTTGCCAGGCTGGTTGAGTTCGAGTATCGCGGTGTTTTTATGCAATGGACTGATAAAGAGATATCGGTTTTCTAGAAGAGAAAGAAGATCCAAAACTAAATACGACACACTCGATTTTCGAATTCAAAGCGAATAACCGCTGTTTTACGAAATATTTTAAAGTTGCAGCTAGGATGTTGCATGATAAAGAAATAAAATAAAACRCTGTTTTATTTGACAGCAGATTCTCTTACGCAAATACGTTACAAACACAAATGAAAGCGCGAGGAAATTTTGAGGCTAATCCTGTATTCCTAGAAGTCTTAAGCCTTAGTTCTCATGGGAATACAGGGTTAGTCGCAACACGGAAAAAATGCAAGTTTTCAAGGCTATTGTAATAATTATAAGGACATTTTCTCATGCTTTATTTTGTGTTTGGTAACTTTTTTGCGCAAGAGAATCTGCTGTCAAATAAAGCAGCGGTTATTCGCTTTGAATTTGAAAATGGAGTCTTGCGGTAGAAAAAAGAAGTTTTTTGAATGAAAATCAAACAAAGCCTTGCGTAACTTAGTAGATACTTACGTAAATCGCAAGATCCAGTGAATTTAACAGTAATATGCATTCCAAGCAGACATGACGTTCTATTAAGAGCGCACACACTTTTATACGTCAAACCATCAGTCCCACAAACACTTGCGGGCTTGAGTTGATTTTCGGGACAAGACTCGGGACAGTGGCATTTTGGTGCATTGTCTTTGGTTAGATCGCAGTATTCTCCTGGGTAGGTACATTTGACTGGACGACAGAGATCTGAATTGAAGAATTGAGAATTTACATTTATAATAGTGATTTCAGATAATAGTCTTCTTCACAGATCCCTGCGCCATCTTGAAAGGTAGCCGTGCCTTTGCATCGAAGCGAGACGACCGTTGAGCGTGCAATGATAGCAACCTTGTTTCACACCTATAGACAATCATTCACAGGTATCTATCATTGCACGCTTAACGGTCGTCTCGCTTTGATGTTAAGGCACGGCTACCTTTCAAGATGGCGCAGGGAACCGTGTAGGAGACTATTGTGACAACCTGGAGACCATGGCCTGCACTTTTGCCGTCCAGCGGCGAAAACGGACCCCTTTACAAAAAGCCGGATAACCCTGGGCTCGTAGTCATAGAAGACACTGTGTTGAATACACTTCTAAAGCTTTTACGTCACCTGCGTGATTTACAATGCATTGTGGGATCAGTTTCTGGTGAGAACAAAACCAATACGTCATGTCTTGTCCTACAATGCATTGCGCACAGTACATGACGTAAAAGGTTCAGATAGATAGCTAATCTTTTTGTGATACCTACAATAATTTCGAGCAATATGAAATTGTATTCTTATAAATTAAGAAAACTTTAAAAAAACTCATACATAATTAATGAGTTATTAGGCCAATAGAATGAGCCTATCTGGTCACATGCATGGACCTTTATATCTGATAAAACACTCCTTATTAGTATTCTTTATTTAAGAAATATAAAACGACGCGCGTGTCTCAGTCCTCTGATATAAACACGGTGGGAGTTCGAAAAACACGAGAGAAGCAAGCTTAGGAACACGAGCGTAGCGAGAGTTTCTCTTGCTTCTCGAGTGTTTTTCAACTCCCATCGTGTTTATATCAGAGGACAGAGACACAAGTTTTCGAGCGAAAAGCAAATTTTGCCGGTAAGCCGTGTCTCTGTCCTCTGATATAAACACGGTCGTCAACCAATCAAAGCGCGCGTTATATATCGAAAATTTTATAAATAAAGAATACTAATAAGGGTGACCTTTATCAGATATAAAGGTCCATGACCCTAGCAAAGGTCTCAGGTTTGAAACCTGATCATTGACTAATGCACGATGTCTCTCGTGTTTTAAACTATACATAAAACTTCGCTAAAATGTATGCTTTCAAAATCTTCCTGCTATTTTGTTTTTGTTGACTGACGGTTGATATGAGCTAGTAGCAGATTAACTAATCAAAGCCTACGTTTTCTTATATTCTTACCTTGTCTACACTTTTCTCTTGATACAAGTAGACCAGGGTNCAATTATTTTTTCGCTTGCTTGATAATTTTTTTATTGTAAACTTAAATTGTTTACATAACGAAAGAAAAGAAAAATGTGTATTTTAGTTCAACATAAGAATATCTTTTCAAGATGCAGAAAACAACACCCTCAAGTTCATGGTTCTTGCAAAGCTATACCTAATTGTGCAAAGTATTATTTGCATGCATTGATGTTTACAAGTTAATAAAGCCATATTTAAACTACAAATCAAATAGAAWATTATATTTTTTAATCAAGTTTAGTTGATATTCTTCTAATTGTTCTCAGTTGCATTGAGTGAAGTAGAATGTTCTGGGAAACACAAGGACCACAGGATATCTCGAACAAAGACCACCGCTTCTTCCTCCATAATTCTAAATACGAAATTCCCCCTACAGAAAGTCACGCATCACTTACTAAACACGTGTGCCTGGTTACCAAGCGGTCGAGTGAATGACGGTCGAGTGAAACTTTAGCGTTCCAAAAAAATTCGGGAGTCCGCACTCATTTGAAATCGGGTGTAAGAAAAAAAAATCATTTTTTTATGCTCAAAGGAGGGGCTATAGTCCCCCTTTGCTCCTCCCTGGATCCACCGTTGCTTGAGTTTTGAGAGATTCTGCGTACAATCTTTCCCCGTCATTTATTCTGAATATTATATTATTACAGAGAAAATTTAGCACTCGGATTGCAAACGTCTTGTACTTTGAGAATTTAAAAGATCGAAGGTCCTTTCGTTAAAAAAGAAGAAAGAAAAAAGAAAGACAGGAAAAAGAATAGTTTAGAATTGCTCGAATCGAGAATCTAACCCGCGACCCTCAGCTTGACGCCGCTATTCGAATATTATCGTGTGTATAAAATTAATCCGACTATTCTCCCAATATCGCCGCCAAAAATGTACTTACAATCAACTGTTACTTTGACAAATGCTTCGACGATAGATAATCCATTATACGCTTCACATCTGTAGGTACCCTCGTCTGCGATTCTAACTTGTGGTATGACCAGCGTGTCTTTAATGGGGATCATGCGCGGTGGGAGACTGTCCATTTCAAGTTTTGTCCAAGTGATTGATATAGGGTCACCAAGGAATAAACACTGTATTTTACCAGGCTGGTTCAGTTCGAGTATCGCGGTGTTTTTATGTAATGGACTGATAAAGAGATATCGGCTTTCTAGAAGAGAAAGAAGATCTAAAACTAAATACGACACACTCGATTATCGAATTCAAAGCGAATAACTGCTGTTTTACGAAATATTTTAAAGTTGCAGCTAGGATGTTGCATGATAAAGAAATAAAATAAAACGCTGTTTTATTTGACAGCAGATTCTCTTACGCAAATACGTTACAAACACAAATGAAAGCGCGAGGAAATTTTGAGGCTAATCCTGTATTCCTAGAAGGCTTAAGCCTTAGTTCTCATGGGAATGCAGGGTTAGTTGCAACACGGAAAAAATGCAAGTTTTCAAGGCTATTGTAATAATTATAAGGACATTTTCTCATGCTTTCTTTTGTGTTTGGTAACATTTTTGCGCAAGAGAATCTGCTGTCAAATAAAGCAGCGGTTATTCGCTTTGAATTCGAAAATGGAGTATTGCGGTAGAAAAAAGAAGTATGAAAATCAAACAAAGCCTTAAGTAACTTAGTACATACGTACGTAAATCGCAAGATCCAGTGAATTTAACAGTAATATGCATTCCAAGCAGACATGACGTTCTATTAAGAGCACACACGCTTTTATACGTCAAACCATCAGTCCCACAAACACTTGCGGACTTGAATTGATCTTCGGGGCAAGACTCGGGACAGTGGCATTTTGGTGCATTGTCTTTGGTTAGATCGCAGTATTCTCCTGGGTAGGTACATWTGACTGGACGACAGAGATCTGAATTGAAGAATTGAGAATTTACGTTTATAATAGTGATTTCAGATAATAATCTTCTTCATGGTTACCTGCGCCATCTTGAAAGGTAGCCGTGCCTTTGCATCGAAGCGAGACAACCTTTGAGCGTGCAGTGATAGAAACCTTCTTTCACACCTACTACAGACAATTATTCACAGGTATCTGTCATTGCACGCTCAACGGTCGTCTCGCTTCGATGTAAAGGCACGACTACCTTTCAAGATGGCGCAGGGAACCCTGAAGAAGACTATTGTGACAATCTGGAGACCATGCCCTGCACTTTTGCCGTCCAGCGGCGAAAACGGACCCCTTTAAAAAAAGCCGGATAACCCTGGGCTCGTAGTCATAGAAGACACTGGGCTGAATACACTTCTAAAGCTTTTACGGCACCTGCGTGATTTACAATGCATTGTGGGATCAATTTCTGGTGAAAACAAAACCAATACGTCATGTCTTGTCCTACAATGCATTGCATACACAGTACATGACGTAAAAGGTTCTGATAGATAGATAATCTTTTTGTCATACCTCCAATCATTGGATTTCGCGATTTTGAGCAATATGAAATTGCATTCTTATAAATTAAGAAAACTATAAAGGCTGATTTACACGGCACGATTGTCTCGTGCGATTTGTAGTATACGACTTGAATCGCGCAGTGTAAATGCTGTACGCAACCTACGACTTGTAGTGGGATTTTGAACCACTGCTTAAAATCCTACGATTTGTAGTAGGAAAATCATATACTACAAGTCGCGCGCGACAAATCGTACCGTGTAAATCAGCCTTAAAACTTCGCTAAAATGTATGCTTTCAAAATCTTCCTGCCATTTTGTTTTTGTTGGCTGACGGTTGATATGAGCTAGTAGCAGAGTAACTAATCAAAGCCTACGTTTTCTTATATTCTTACCTTGTCTACACTTTTCTCTTGATACAAGYAGACCAGGGTGAGGATTACATGAATTATGAAAGTAGCAGCATCTAAAATGATTATTGTTAAAAATATTGAAATAAAAATCCATTCTGGTATTCTACAAACCGTTTTAGGAACTCAGAAAAGACGTAAGTGGTGCACATACCTTCTACAGTTGTTTTTATAGCAAAATCCTGTTCTTATTGATTCGCATTTCGWCATATTTGTGATGATTGATGGATTTATAGGACAGGGTTCTATAAACCAAGAAATAATAAAGAAAAAAATAAAATTTATATTTGTATATATGCAGTTAAGTTTTATAAAGATGGACGATAAGAGAATGTCATCCTAGAAATACTAGAATTTAATGATAATAATTATTAATTTAATAATAGAATAGGCCGTTTGCATTATGACGTAACTTTACTACAACTACCAGTGAGCCTTGCGCATTTTCATTGTTATTCAGATTTTAAATGCCCTTGGAGATTAATACAACAATTGGCACTAATTGCATTACAAAAGAAAGTTGGCAAAGCATTCTGGTAGTTGTAGTAAATGACGCGATAATACATATCGGCTATTTTTAGGCTTAACTTAGAAAACTCTCCAAGAATATTGTGATGATTAGACTGACCCTCCCCTCACTAGTGAGATTTTATGCATGTTTACGTAGTATACTGCGTAGTAGTACGAACGTGCAGAGTCGCTTGATAAGTAGACGCTACAATATGAACGCAAGGCAAGTATTTCAAGCACCTGAACACTACTCAAAGCACGAAAAGCTTCAAAATGTAAATTTTGCTAAATTATAATGAARTATGGAAAATTCCTTTGCTTTTTAGTGTMTAATCTACAYTATATTGTGCTGTTTAACTTTAGTTAGTTACATTTAAGAACTTTTAGTATTTTCAAGAAATGACGATGATTATAGCCAGAAATTATGTTAAATTAAGTTTCTTGTGAAGCAAACCAAACACTTTAAAACGATTGTACCTATTTGCAAACAAATGCCAACTCTACGTATAAGTTTTAGGAGTATCTGAGTCTTAAAATGATTGATGACTTATACAGATGTTGTAGTGAAACTATCGTCGACCGTCCGCCATATTGGAAATTTATCTTAGAAACCTAGCCTTCATATCAAGGCCAGGACACTTTTTGTCCACAGGAATCCCATGAGATTCAAATTATCATTTTCAAGCTTTTTTACGTCCTGGCATATTTAGATTTTTTTTGAAAATTGATTGAAAAATAATATCGGTTAAGAACGAGCAGTTATGGTCGCCAGAGGGGGCCAGAACGGGGTGCACCAAGGCAAGAAAAACTGCTAAAAACTGGATGTATTTGGTGGGAGATAGTTATAAAAAAATAATGTCAACCAATAGAAAAAGTTCTATCTAGATGTATAGTGTCTCAAAATATTTTTTAAGGMGAACTTGTATTTCCGAGAGAATAAAAAACTGAACTCCGTCATAATGACAGATAAAACTGATTTTTTTTACTAGCTCAAGTAATTTGAAGATAGATCCTTCGAAAAATACGCAAACTGAGACAGCTGCCATGAACCAAATTTATAAAACAGTTTAAGAGCTTTCACGTGCGGTGCTGTCAAAGGTATGTGCGTAAACCGCGTACAGTTTCTTACTGGTAACTCATAAATACGTAAACGCTCAAAAAAATCTTCAATCTTCGTCTAAAGAACGTAAACAAAGCGGAAATCGTGCAAGCATGCAAAACGTTTGCCGTATGATCGTTTACAATACGTTTACGTAAAGGGGAAATTGGTTACATAAAATATATTTCATCGGCTATAGATACGAACGACTCAAGGGGTGAAAGGTTTTGTCTTGAGGGCATAAGGGGAGACTTTAAGAGAAGTGTTAATTTTAATCTACCTTTCAAGACATTTTGCACCATCACGTGAACCCTCGGCAATAGTTAATCGCAAAACCGTAGGATTTATATTTTCCTAATAATTACGTTCGTTTACGTTGCGTTTACGTGAGTTCATTTAACAGCAAAACGTCTTGACGTTTACTGTTACGTGCGTGTATATTTACGTTGACGCACGGTCTCYATACAAAGTATAATTTCAAGACAAAACCACACAAGAAACCAGAAATTGCCTTTGAAGCTTGCGTTTTGCTCTTACTGAACGTTACTTTTACGTAAACACTTGCGTTTTTGAGTTCAAATCGGAAGAGGCTTGCCGGCTTGCCAGAGAAAAATGCTTTTTTCCATTGTGTAAGGGCACATGATCTGTGTGTGGGTGTACTGATAACGTTTYSAACAAACCAAAAATTCGACCTCACTGACAGAGCTTTTAGTTWAAACTCTTGATGATGATTTGCAGCAYTTACGRGTCCATTTWTAGATGAAGAAATACGCGTAACTTKCTATAAACAAGTCGCCATGTTAGTTGGTTATTTAGAGAGCTTTAATTCCGTCCTTTCCGTTAAAAAYAACAACAACAAACAAACAGARCAAACAAAGAACAAAAGATTATTAWTATTTGTAGCAATTCAGTGTAAAATATCAATATCAATATCATCATTATCATCATCGTTAAATCTTCATCATACGTATTTGATTCGCATCTAATACTTCTCTGACACTTCAGACACTTGGAGTTCTTCAAAGTGTTTCGAGWAATATTATTTTCTTTCAAAAGATAAATACATGCGTCGGGAGACCTTTCTTCTCGACCCCGACACACTGTGCGATTAAAAGAGTAAATCCGCAATTCAATTGGTGGATTTTATGAAAGCCAGACTGTGGAATTATCCTATAAAAATATTTATTAATAGTTAAAATTTAAAGGAAAACACACGAGACGCTATTTAAAGAATTTGTGCTATCTTTTATATCAACAGACGGGTCTTCTCAATCGTTAACGCWTCATAATGACCCTGAAAGGAGCAACTTTATTTCAACTCAATGACAAAAAACACAGATAAGCCAAAAATTAAGCTCAAATGACTTCTACCTTCATTAAAAAGCACTAAAACATAGCCAAGTAGTAAAATTCCTTGCCCATGCTTGCTGTYTGCTCTTCTGTTCCCGTTTTAATTCAACAGCAGTTAGACCATTAGTCAACAATAAGCACTCTCAGTCAAACTAGAAGTCAATTGACGTATTACCTTGACTAGATACGTATAAACAGTGTTTGTTACCATACCTGAAGCTAGAACAAGCTGTCCCACAACTGCTACGCCACATGCGAGTAGATAAAACATCTGCGTATACGATAACAGCATTTTTCAAKCTCGTGGTAAGTACTCTYGGTTATAACGAGCTCTCAAATGATGACCATACCCGAAACTACGCASTCACAACCTAACGATAGTCCCACAGATGAAGTATTAACGCTAGTAGTATTAGATTACATGACATCACCAAAATCCCGGCGCTTAGGAGACCACAGAGATCACTTACGTTAATTTGGAGTCATCCGCAAGAGATAGTTTTACGTAATTAGAGGGACTTCCACGTAACGCTGATTACGCGACATTTAAAATGCTGTGTGCGTAAACGATGGGGTTCGAATATGTAAAGTTTAAAATGTTATCAGGGAATTTGTTTGTTTTAGGATTATAAAAAACAAATAGTCACGCGAATCACGCAATCAAGGGACATCGTGAAGGCCGAGCGTCAAGCCGAGCACTAGCCGATTGGGCACGGACTATAACTCGACTAGAGTTGAAACAAATATGGAAGAAACGATACACAGAATGCAAGATAGAAATTCACAAAGACTTCCGTACGAAGTCGGTGTGTGAGTGATGACGTGGAATAACGTTTTGGCTAGGCATGACTCTATATTTGTACGTCACGAGTTATGCCTGATACTGATATTGAAATTGTGTAGAACTGAAACGATTCTCATACACAATGTGCAGCGACGCCATTTTGTRCAACAAGGCATGATGGGAGTGAGGGAGGGTTTGCGAGGAGGAATACAACGTCAAGCTTTGCTGTAAAAAGGCATCATTGCACTCATTGCAGGAGGAGACGACGTGGTCTGTTCTTCTAAAATAACTGTTCTTGTGCGCATGTTTTCCTTGGAAAGGGATTTTGAGATACAACGTTGCAATCTCACAATCAAATGTGGAAAACGTGTTTATGGTCAAAAAGGCTTAAATAACGTTTTTATGGTGTGAAACGGCTTATATTTTATTTAGTTAGGAGATTTTTGTTTTCATGGCAAAAATTCTTAGAAAGTATCTTTGCCTGGAGAGTTTTTTTTCCTGAATTTCTCGCTGGTGACCAGTTGTGACTTACAGCTGGCTGCTATTCTCGGCCAGGAACCCATCGGCTCCTCCTAATATTGCCTACATTCGCGACAGCTGAGTTGTGTACATGTACAATTTCGAAGTATTCAAGATGACAGATACTACAAAACTCCTTTGAACACGAAATGCTAAGTTGATAACCTGCAACCGCCCACTTTGGGCCTCCTGTGGTATAAAGTCCGAGAGGGACTAAGATCGACGTGAAACAAAATGGCGGAAGATTGCATTCAAAGCACTTTTTTGTATCGTTCTTCTGTTTTTATGGCATAACTTTGGTAATAGTTCATTTTGACACTGGAAAACCATGCATATTATCGTTACAGTCCTATGGATTTTAATTTTGAAATTTTGTTAAAATTCTACTAGGCGAAGTTGCTGATTTTAGAGTGCAAGAAGAGGTGGTGGATCGAYTGACTGCTCCAAAACATCATTTAAAGGGTAGGTTTAGTTGAGGAATGGCGATGGTGTCTGATAGTACGAAGCAAAGAATATATATAAGTGATGCAGAGATTTTAAAACCACTCTAACAAGCTAGAAAAAGGGGAAAACATTTCACGTGTGATTGATGAAAACAAATCAATTGGTCACGCAATTTTAAGTTAATAAGTAAACTTATTTTTAATTTAAGTCTTAAAGCTTGATTAATTCAGATTTATCAACTTAAAAAAAAACAAATCTGCTATTTAAGACGTTTTTTGCATTAAAATGTTTGTTTTTATCTTTTTATTCAAGCTGTTTTTATTTTCACGGAGGGAAATCCCSACTAAATCCCCTCAAATTGATTTGCATAAACTTTCACTTTCGCTTTCTATGGTTTATAGATTTGGGACTGCAGGTTGTGTTGTGAAAAGTTTCACTAGTGTGGTTTTCACGACCTTGTGAAATACAAYTGTGCCACACTTTGAAACTAGTAAAAATTGCTCTTTATTGTGCATGCCAATGTGACTTTTTTTTGGTGTATGTTYTGCTCTTTGGTTATAGATACAGGTAAAGTTTATTTCTTGATTGTTTATAGAATCTGTGACTATACATGTTTGTCTGCTAGTTTTCTATTCTCCCCTAAGGTTTTTAAATGTCACTCAGTCAAACCTTGCTTAAATCCTAACCCTAAACTTTAACCAGAGCTTTTTACTGAGAATAAGTTCATAGTTTCATGAGTGAACGCCAAAAAGTTTTGAAACGATTCTTAACTACAACTAATAATTCACCGAGACATAAACACAATTGACAAAGGAGGAATTCAAAGAGCCTTTTATTTTCATTGCATTTCTTTTGTTTATTAGTCAGTGCGTCTCATCTGTGACATGGAAAATTCTTAGTTAGTGCATACACCTTTATCATAATGGCGGCAATTGTGTTTTTCTAAAATAAGATAGATATGAATATTTTGTCACTGTAACATCAAAGAACTATCAGAAATAAACGTTTTTGGAAAGTTTTAGAACTCTGCACAAAATAGGAAAAAAGTTACGGTGAAATAAAAATACAAAGAAGTGTATGTAATTTTCCACCAATGGCTGTCTGTCTATTTGTTTCTGAATATGAAACATGTGAAAACTTTGTCACTGTCATGTGAATGAACTACCAAAAATAAACATTTTTGGAAAGTTTTACAGCCCTGGATAAAATGCGAACAAAGTTATGGCGAAATGAAAATACAAAGAAATGTATATGTAATTTTCAGCCAAGGCCTTTATAGCCTCGTTCTGGTGTTATGATATATTTTAAATCCTTATAACTTCACCAGAATTTAATATTTTCATTTCAAACTTTTACATGTTGTTATTAGCACAGGTTCCTATCAGCTGTTAGTTTACTTTGACTAAAATTCTAAATTTTAAAAATTTATGTTAATTAGATGGCGGCCATTATGATAAAGGTGTATGTATTACAACTAAATGTTTTTAGGCACCAAAYAGTTAATTCATTTCACACTTTTGTCTCATGCATTTTAATGTTRAGACTTTGTATGTTACTATTTGTCTGCCAAGCAGAAATCTAGACAATTTGTTTTTTTCAGAAAACTCTATTTTATTTAATGGTGAGCAGTTCTTATAATAATAAGGAAACACGAAATTCTGTGATTATAGAATAATTGATATAGCTTGGGATAAACAGAAATATGTATTTGCCATGATATGTTTGTTTTTGCTATTTTTGGGCAAAATTTTTTTACTGTCTTTCCAATAAATTGTTGTCCCTATGATTAAGAGCTAGTGTAATTCCTATTCATTCTTGAAAAATTAAAGTTATAATTCTAATTAGTATAAACATATTAATGGTCTATCACTCATACTGTATTGTGATTGGCTACTCTACTAATGGTCTAATTTGTGATAGACCACTCGTGGGATAATCAAAATAAATAAATCATAAATTATAAATTATTTTAAGGATATTTCAATTTGTTTTCATTATTTGAACGATTAGTATGTTTATACTAAAACAATTAGACCTCTCGGCCTCGTGGACTACGAGCTAACAGCCCATTTGGCCTCGCGGCACCTCAGCCTCATGGGCTATTAGCTCATAGTCCACTCGACCTCAAGGTCTAATTGTTATTTAGAAATTAACAGCTGATGGCATTCTAACAAGCAATTATTTTTGCATTCCTCTTACTTTGGGGTTCCTGTGTTGTGACAAAWACTGTGCCATGCCCTTTCCAAAGGAAACCCAAAGAGAGAAAAGCATGATGGTTAGGATATGGAAGAGGCTATATAGTAGTACCTTGGGGAGCACAGGCTCTTAATCAGTTGTTCCACTCCCTATATTAAATAACATTATTTGAAGATTTTGTATCTTGTTGTTGAGTTGTAAGTTTCTTGCTTGGATTCCAACAAAATCACACAAAACTCTCAYATCTTGTTATTGATGTACGCAACTATCCCCTGGCAATTTACTCAAGTAAATATTGTGCAATAGTGATACTCTATGTTTATCAACAAACTCATTCTCATGTTAATGTGCCAACCATGATTAGAATGGCTTTTCAAAAGTTGCTTTGTTCTAACAGCCAATCGTCTTCTGGTTAGCACATGAATAACAAAGGCTTAYGTCACATTGAGTATCGCTGTATGGCAGTTATTGATATGATATCAATCTTGTTAATCCTGTGTAGGTAATATATTCATATCACCATGGAGATGTCATTGGACCCAATGGTAGACGAAGATTGTATTGATATCAATGGTACCCTAATAGACCAAGTAATGGACATACTACGCACTGGTGGAACATTCACAGTAGGTGGTGTTCTTCACAATGTACTAATGGCTACCAACGATGGAGATGTCTATAACTGTTTGAAAGACTTACAAGCCCAAGGTCTTATTAAGCTTGTTGGAGAATATCCTTTAAGATGGCAGTTGTTTGGTAGCTCTGCAAGCAGTCTTGAGGAAAGATCAGGGAATTATGGTCCATTTAATSAACCGATGGACTGGGATAATCCTAARGGAGAACAGGGCACTGGTTACAATGATGATATAGGAGCTCGCCCAAGATGGGATGGAAGTTCCAATGCTTCAAAGCCCCAAGACCACCAGTTTAAGGAGCCTGAATATCCTCATCAAAAGAGAACTCATCATACTCATGCGAATGTTACCAGTCATGGCAAAGGGTGTCCACCCCCTCCCTCTGCGGCACTGTTTGAATCGCTCAAGTCTCAGTCCAACTATCCTTCAAAACCTGTACCTGTTTTAGGAKGCAACACAGGGCATAGAAGCAGACTCTCAATCCCAATTACGAGGAATATGGATGGGCCTTCACCTTCTGCTCCCTATTCGCCTGATGGGAGCACAAATGGTTGTCCACCATTCATACATCAAGGTAACAGCATGGGAAACATTTCACAGCACAGTTCAAATAATGGCAATAATTCTGGTAACGCTCCTCAGGAGATAAAAAGGGGCGGATTGTCAACATATACACAAAGTCATAGCTCAAGTCATCACACACGCTCAACACAAGAAAAGCCTCCATTAAATCAAGGTGGATTTCCCAGACAAATGAATCGAAGTGCTAACCAATCATCCGACAATTTCTCAAGAAATATGTTAAGCTCTAACCCAAGATTTGAACCAAGATTTCCACACCAAACACTTTCCGAGTCTGGTAAAACTGGCAATATCCCTTCAAGACAAACCAGTCTTCCACCTAGTCAAMCCAGTTTTCAATCTCATCAAACTGGTTTTCAATCTGGTGGAACTAGTTCTAGTTCAAGCCAGTTTCCYCAGCCCCCTWCTKCAGAGATGTTTCAAAGCTTATCCAGTAAAGGTCCCCAGAAAACACCATTGAATAGCCGAGGGAGTAATCCAGGTGCCAGTGCAAGAAGACCAAACCTCACAGCMAATCAAAACAAAGTGTTAGAATTCATGAAAAAGAATGGAAAGCCTTGTAATACATTACAGTTAGCGCATGCGTGTGACCTGCGAACGAAGAAAGATATTAACCCCTCACTCTACCAAATGCAGACTTTTGGACTYATTATAAAGACGCAAGATCATCCTCCATTGTGGAAGTTGAGGTCAGACAACCGTGATCTTATAAACTCCATTACTACCAATACGRCCAGTTCTTCAATGAAATTTCCATCAAAACCTCATGAGAATTTCCCGCCACAATTGCCTGGATCTGCTTTCAGTTGTCCAGATAATAATTCTGGTATTGGTAACAGACCATTAAATCCATTTGGAAAAAGGAACTTATCAGTGGAAGAAAACCCAGTACAAAAAGTACCGCACTTCACAAGCCAATCACAATTTGATAAGGGTTTTCCTCAGAGCAATGCTGCGGGGTTTTCCCAGTACAATRGTGGATCAAAATCGGCCAACCAGGATAATCAAACCCAGGCGTTATCGAAGATTGTAGATTCGTCTATTAATCAAAATCCTGTCAGCGCTTTGAATGAGTATGCCCAGAAGAGCCGATTGGAACTAACGTATGTGACACTCAACGAAAAAAAAGGCTTTGCTGTCTCGGTTATTCTTGGTGGTAAAACATTTCCTCCTGGGCGAGCATCAAATTCGAAAGACGCCCGCCGTGAAGCCTGTGACATTGCCTTAAGATCTCTCCTCGGTCAAAACCAGGGACAAAATAGAGAATTGAACATTCGCCAACCATCAGCCGAGTCTCTTCGTGGCGCCCGCACTCATTTYGATCTTATAGCTGCTCTTTCCCAACACGCCTTTGTGCAGATCGCGGCCTCGATCGAAGAGAACATTGCCGGACGCAAAGTGGTTGCATGTTTTGTAATGAAAAGGGGGMMTGGYGACACGGGTCAAGTAGTCAGCTTGGGGTCTGGAAATCGTTGTGTTACTGGCGAGCGGTTGAGTATGGAAGGAAAAGTTGTGAACGACTCTCAYGCYGARATTGTYGCCAGAAGATCGTTGCATCGTTTTTTGTACGCACAAGTGCAGAGTTTYTATGACGGTCAGGACTCCATATTTGAACAAGGAAGTAAWTCGTCATATTTGACGCTGAAGAGAGGTATATCTTTTCATTTATATATTAGTACTGCTCCGTGTGGTGACGGTGCTCTATTCACACTGAGGGTAGACAACGAATTAACACAGCCCCAGTCCGAAGATGGCGAACACGTCCCGGAGTTTACMTCCAAAGTGCAAGGAATTCTGAGGACYAAAATTGAAGACGGAGAGGGGACTATTCCCATTGACCCAAGTGACGGCYCACAAACATGGGACGGGCTCTTACGAGGTCARCGATTACGTACCATGTCATGCAGCGATAAGATCTGYCGATGGAACGTTGTTGGTCTCCAAGGAGCTCTTTTGACACACTTCATTGAGCCCATCTACTTAGGGTCCCTCACTCTTGGATACCTGTATGATCATGGCCATCTTTCAAGAGCRGTGTGCTGYAGGYTACAGCATAARCATGACTTAGGGGCTGAACTAAGTAGTCCTTTTAAGCTCCACCATCCTTTATTAGGCCGTGTCACTGCTTACGAATCAAGCAGACATACAGAGAAGACTAATAATTTGAGCCTTAACTGGGCTCATGGGGACACCCACGCGGAAGTCATAGATGGGCGCACMGGGGCTTGTTTATCCCGCACGAAAAACATACCCACCCCAGCACGCATATGTAAAGCGTCCCTGTATGGCCTTTTTAGGGACCTATGCGTGAAGGCGAAGAGAAATGAGCTCTTGAATGCCGARACATACCGCGATGCAAAGAACTCTGCCAAACAGTTTCAAGAAGCCAAGAGACTAATGTTTGAATGYTTCAGGAAGTCCAAGTATGGCTCATGGGTTAGTAAACCAGGCGAGCAAGAAATGTTTTGAGCGCAAATGGATTGTAATAGTGAAAACAGAAAGAATTTTAATAGAAAAGTTAAACAGTTGTATAGTGGAAATAGCCAGAAAAGATAACTTTGAAATTAACTATGCTGCCTTCAAAGGCTCAACTCAACTCGAATAACAAGTTATTTGACAAGCAGCGGATATAGAATTTGTAAAGGAGACTAGTCCCTATTGCGTAGCGATATAATGATATCGTACTCTTTGAACAGATCCATTTTCTTCTATCGCCTTAGGKAAGTGTCAATCAGTCCCAGACCTAAAGAAGGCTTGTACCCAGTCACTTCTCTCGCTTTTTGGGCGGCGCGCGTAGCCAAAAAAAGAGAGTAACAGCTGGGTACGAGTCTGGGCATTAAAGCCGATTTTGTTAAAAGGTGATGCGGGGATTGATGTTGAGGTCGCACTTAAGATTTGTTGTTATAGGGTRTTTGAAAATTTTAAATTATCGCGTTAGGCATTAGTGAAACAAATAAATGGCAAGTTCGTATAACATCAATCTGTAATGGTTTATTTATCAGATCTGTTGAATCTCCGGTGTCGAAGTACAATCGCATTGCACTCATCAAACTGGTTTTACATTCAAACAAATAAGTTATAACAGAACACATTAATCGATTCATCGGTCTTCGTCATCGAACTGGTTTCGTGTGGTCGAGCTAGTCCAGTGAAATAGATTGTTCGCACTATAAATCCATGAAAAAGGACCAGGACAASAAGACAATCAGRAAGACAGCYTTCTATTTACTRAATACTGGTTCTTCCTTAATGGAAAATTACTGTATTTAGTAATGTTCACGGATTTAGTGCGCGCACTCTATCATTTCTTTTGCGACATATCTATGYCTCCTTATTAGGTTCAGAGTACATTCCAGGTACTAAATATACGGCCTTCGATATCTCTTTCTTATCATCCTGTATTGACGGAGACTCCACTTCTAATACATCACAGGGCAGATTCAGGTTATTCTCAGGTAAAGGGCCATATCTCACCGAATAAATAGGCTCCGTTATTGGACTAGACCTAGAAAATATAGAACGGGTGAAAAAATGGTATTTGATATTGTGATCAGCAAAGGTTTGGAAATAACTAATAAAATAAACGACAAAGACAAAAAATTACGGCGTTTCGAGATCGACATGATCTCATTCTCAAGTGATATATTTTATTTGCTGTATTTTTTTGTATTTGATATTGTAATTCATTAATAATTCATGAGCTAGTAACCAATCAAGGTTGTTAATTTAGTCACATGATGAACCTTGGAAATTTCGATGCAACATTCACACTATGACATAAGCAGAAGCAAAAGAAGTGTATTTTGTATGTGTGAACCGGGAAAAACACAAGCAGAGACAGAGGCAGATGAAAATGAAAACTTTTTCATTTTCTTCTCCTCTGTTTCTGGCTCATGTTGAAAGATTATGAGTGTGTTCCGTGACATAACAAGCAGAAGAACATACTTCTCTCAAGTGTGAACAACCTGCTTCTGTTTCTGTTATGTCATATTGTGAGCCGGCCCTAACGAATGATAGCCCCCGGGGGGGGGGACTCCCTAATATCAAAGGGCGGGGGTCCTCGGCGTCCCTTTTAGGGTTTGAAATCAGTATTTTGGTCCCGCTTAGGGTGATCATGACAAGAATTCCTACCAACTGTGTTTTGTGGTCCCTTTTAGGGTATACGGCGACCCTAAGCAGTCATAAAATGGCAACGTCGTCATGAACTCAATACGAGCCGACGGTGTTCGATGATTGTGTAAAAACACAAATAAAATCGGTAAACCATTGATTGGTCCCTTKTAGGGTTGAAATTTCAGCACTGCCACGCCCATCATCTCACAATAGAGGTCCCTTTTAGGGGTCATTTTCACAATCTCCGCCGAGGACCCCCGCCCTTTGATATTAGGGAGTCCCCCCCCCCGGGATGATAGCCAAGAAGTCTACTATTCATTCATCCTTGACAGAAATGCTGATAACATCAAGTGCATAAAAAAAAGTATTTTGGTTTTMAACTCCATATAAATAAAAAAGATAAGCATTATTTCACTGAAGACGTTTTGGAACTATATGTTGAATATTGTTGAAAAGAAATTTAAAAAATGATATATGTAAATGAATGAGGTTATATACAGTGGGATTGCTTGTATTTCGAGATATAGAATTCATGGACATACTTGTTCTGTAAACTTTTTCCATCCAGCGCGTTATCCAATGGCGAGCAAGGTACAGCAAGTTCCTTGGTTTCCATGTCAGGTTGGTGGTCTTGTCTTTCTTGTTTTTGTGCTTCTCTTTCCGATTCTCTTGCCYTTTGGTCCAAGAGRAACTWCAAAMGAAGATAATTGRATATTATTTGATTGATAGGTATCACAAACTTTACATTCTGATTGGCTTCCTAAACTCTTTATCCTTCCCTTGGTGCATTGCGATCTAGTTAAATCTTACCACAGGTACCCCAAGCCTATGCGTTTTTACCATATACCATTTTCTACAAAGAGTGAATGATAGCAATAGCGAGAAATGGTTCAGAATTGACTGAAGCTCCAAAGGAATACAAAGAAAACCACAATACACAAAAATGGGCTACCTGGGATCCTACCCAACAATCATTTCGCGAGTAAGACGAACCCACCATGCTGAATACATACCTTATCCAGCATTCCTTGTGTTTCTRGGGTGAGAGGATCATGGGAAAACCTACAATGGTCTCCATTTCGACAGGATCCGTATCCAGAGTGAAAATATTTACATGGAAATGAACGTAATAAATGTTAAGAAAACAACAGGAATTAAAGCAATTTGTGGCTATTTTATACACATTTTTTTGGATACGCAATGGCGCATTTCGATTACAATATCATCCAAAGTATAAAAAGAACCTCAAAAACAACAAAAACAACAAACAAATAAACAAAACGAAAAAACGGTTATTAATAGGCAAATTCAGATATTTTGGTTCGATTACTATGTACAAAAGAACGCACACGAGGCTCCGGGAAAACAATGGATAATCGAATGGCGATTGTCAGGCGGCGAATTCATGACCATGCGGGGACTTTTGCCCGGTAGAACTTACAACATTTTACTTGCTGGGTCATCCTTGTTCATTGAAAATGGAGACTAAATGGTGCCAATTACCACAGAATATCTTACAGTATAAAAACGTTATTATTTCCAATCAAAAACACATGGCTCCTTTCTGTCGTTCAATTCGTCATTTGAAAATTGCCATTCGCCATGTTTTGCGAGAACCTTTCTTGAAATAGGTACTATATAAMAAAAAGGATATTATGCAAGTAAGGRCAGTTGTCTCCTTTCATGCAAACGTCAACCAGATAATATTTACAGACTTCTTGTTGTTTTGTTGGTGTTCCTTCATGACGGAAAGGACATTCATCGCCCTAAGAAATATTAACCATGAGAAAACAACATTTTAGACAATGATCAAGAATTAACAGCGAAAGAGACTTGGACAGGTCCATCATCAAAATAACGACATACGTATGCACTATGAGTCAAATAAAATTACGTCCCCCGACCTCCAGGCAATACAGGAAAATTTTAATTTAAAAAAAGTAATCAACAAACATTTTAACAAAATTCAACAATCTTAAAATACGGGCATTTTCCGGCCCTTAAGCAAAAAACGAAGAAAAAAACCGGCTAAACAGATCATTTCCGYTAATTTGTATAGGAAATCGCACGACCTTGAGTACAATTTGGAATTTATAGCCACGAGTAATGTTTTGAAAGTTCTTCGTAATTGCACGAGCCCGATAGGCTATTTATTCCAAATTGTACAAGAGGTTGTGCGATTTTTTGTTTATAGTACATTCTGTGAAACAAATTTTTTTAAGGAGTACAATTAACGCTGTAATTGTACTCCTCTCGACCAATTATTTTGTTGAATGTACTATAAAGACGTTAATTCCCCCGGTTAAAACTGTAAAATGTGTTAATTACCCGGCCCCACCCGGGGGTTTGGTGTCTGTTTTGGTGCATTAAACCAGCTACCTTCGTACATGATCCTTTCAAGTAATAATGACAAACTGGACGAGGTGCAGGCTCTCTTTGTCTTGCTTGTTGCATGTCCTTTGCTCTTCTTGAAAGATATGAATTCATTCTTTTTTGAAGTTTCTTCCTCTTATTRGCACTGACTTGACCCCCCCTGGTTTTCTTTTTAATAAGCTCCTGGATTATAAAACAATAGAAGTAGTAACACACGTAACCTTTTAAAAACAGCAGTGTGAAGTGAAAAGAAAAACCCCGTTAAATAGATAAAACACAAATAGAGTACAAACACTAAAGGCGTGCAACACTTTCCTCTATTTACTACAAAATAGTGTTAATTAAACAATAGAAAACAATACAATTAGCATAATTTAGCCGTATTTAGTGGTATTCATGTTGCACACTTTTAGTATTTGTACTCTACACACTCTATACACATTACACTCTGCTGTCGTTGTTGTTGCTTTTGTTGTTGTTGTCATTGCTGTTCTAACTTATAGTTTTGCTGTAGTTGTCGTTGTTTTCATCGTTGATGTTGCTGGTAGTGTTGTTGTTTTCATTGTTGTTGCTTTTGTTGTTGTTGTTGTCATTGTTATTCTCATATTTTTGCTGTAGTTGTCAATCTTTTCATTGTTGTTGATGTTGATGTTGCTGCTAGTGTTGTTGTCGTCATTGTTGTTGCCGTTGCTGTTGTCATCTTTGGTGAGGAAAGGAGGCTGCTGACACTTTTGATAGGTTTGTAGTCATTTATTGCTAGTTTTCAACCATTCCCATGAGATTCAAAAGATAAAAGACCGGAGACCATGTTGGAGGAATGAATAATAGATACTAATGAGAAATTCTTTGTTGAAGTTCATCCAAGATGGCCGCTCTGACGTATAATGAAAATAATGGCATAAACAAGTATGACTATCATTTTATTACCTTCTCACTGGCAGCCACTGTGACATCAATGGCACTATTGCTAAGTGATGACAGCAAGCTGTAGCCTTGTTCTTCCTCGTCTTCTTCTTTAACTTTACTATCAAAATGCTTAGTAATCTTGCCAGTGCTTGGCTCTCCAACTGACAACATATCTCTTGCATCTTGTCTTGAATCATTTTGATATTTCTTCATCTCCTTGAACTGGGAATGAAATTATTTATATGTAGACAGAATAACCATCTTCTAAGTGACAACAAACTTTTTGCAAGTAGTTAGCGTGAGGGTACATGATCTTTAGTATAATATTATTATTTAAACGCCTGAATTTGAAAAAAAAAAAATGACGCGAGCGTGTATTATGCTCTCATCAAACACGGCTTTTTGGCCAATCAGAGCGCGTGTAATATGAAAGTTATTTTATAAACTGAAACAAAAACCATCTACGTCATACAAAAGAAACAAGGGTAGATAAAAGCAACAACGTGCAGGATTTTAATTTTAAAAGAATTAAAAACAAATCAAGATAAATTCCAACAATGTATTTGATATCCCTACATGTACAGATATGGTAATAATACCAACCTTTCCTGGAAATGGTCTGGTTGAATCCTCCCATTTTTGCTTTGTACCCTTGTAAACAGCAGAATATTAAAAATACAGTTTAAATAATATAATACATTGAGCACTTTTTCAATTTAATTTGAAATATTTTTTGTTTATCATTTAAGTGTTTCACTAGTTATAGTACTTTTGACTGTTAAACTACACACATCAACAGTTTGCATGTGAAAACCATTCCACCTAATTACCTTTGAATATGATGTTTTTTGTATTTTCTTTGCTTTCTCTTTTCCTTTCCTTTTTCTCTTTCTTTTCCTCTTGTTCTTAGTCTTGATTTGATTCCCTTCTCCACGCTTTTCAGGCTCTTTATTAGGATCATCATCATCACTATCATCCCATTGAATTTCTYCATCTTCAAGCATATCCTCAGAATCATCATTGAATACTAATACCTCAAGAGAATCATCAAGTTTTTCATTATCAAAGCTTTTTGTATTGCAATCACCATCAGTRTCTTCATCTGATAGTGATTCTSTTGCACCTGATTTGCGGTTTTTATYTTTGATGTCATTAGAATTACTRATGTGGAGAATTTTGGTGTCATTGTCACCTTCGRTATTGCAAAAGGAAGCGCTATTTTTAYCTTTGATGTCATCATCACTATTATCATCATTGTCATCATCTGTTGATGATTCACTTGAACTTGATTTACTGTCATTTCTTTTGATGTCATTAGAATTACTGATGTGAAGAATTTTGGTGTCATTGCTAGCCTTGGTATTTAGAAAGGACGCAAAATTTTTATCTGTGATGTTATCATCACTATCATCATCTTCATCATCATTTTTGATACCCATGAGATGCTTTTTGGTGTTATTACTGCCCTCAGTATTGCCAATGGAGGCAAAACTGATATCTGTGATATCATTATCACTATCATTATCATCATCATCATTGCCAGTAWCATTGACTTTAAGTGTGCTATCTTTCAAATCATTGTTATTTTCAATACCGGCATTGTCTCCAATATCATTAGCTTTAAAATCACAATTATCAACATCACTATTGATGATATCAGAAGCCTTTTCCCTATCTGACATGGACCCCAATTCTGTCTCATTTTCATCCTTTGAAACATCAATGCCCATTTTCACAGATTCAAATGTTTTATCACCTGAAGAATATTTCTCTTCAGAGGAAGAATTATCTTTGGCAAGAGACATCTTTTTGTCCTTGTTTGGAGGCACTGTGTTGTTTGTTTCAGAGGGCTTAGAGCCCTGAAAAGAATACTCTGAAGTTCTAGAAAGTTTACCATCTGAGCTTTCAGTGGTATTGTGAGCAATGTCTCCATTTTTTGTACATTTATTATCTTGATTAGATTCAAACTTACTATATACATGTATTGAAGGATTGTCATTGAATTTTCCTTTTTGACACAAATCATTGCTATCATGTTGCTGATGGGTATCAGTGGTATTGCTTGRATTAACAATTTCTTCAATTCCTGTTAAATTTTGGTCTTGACTACTTCCCACTGAATCTTTAATAGAATCAGAAGGGATTTCAGCCAAAGATCCACTTGAAAATGCTGAATATATACAGGTGAGTGCTTTTTTCTTAGGGCTCAATACATCACTGCTATCAACACTTTTGGAGATATTTTCTTCTAGCTCTTTCAACTTCCGCTTAGTTCCTAMATTTTCACTCGTTTTGCATGAAACTGTAGAACTTTTGGATTCTACTTTATTAGCAGACAAAGGCACATCTGCTGTAATACATGAGGTGAGATTTGTATTTTTTGGTGTAATATCTAAGTCTTTTTTATTAATGGAGGAATCAAATTCATTTTCAGCTTTGTTAGAAGACATCAACTCAGAAGCAAAAATTCTTTGCTTTCTTTTCATTTTCTTTTGAGAAAATGCAGCATTACCTTCCAATGCTGAAGTCTTCTTTTGAACAACACCAATAGAGCTATCATCATTATCTGCTGTTTTTGAGACTAAATTTTCATCCAGGGAGCCCCTTTGCAGTATCTTTTGTTCTTTAAAATCTAAAGAAATTGAACTTTTTTCCTCTGATGTTTTTGTTTCCTTTTGTGGTGATTTATCTTTCACAATGCYACTTATAATATCAGATATCAATGAAGAGGTAACATTGCCCATCTCTGKTTTTGTTGTAGTAAAAGACTGGCTAGGTTTTGATCTTTCTTGAGGGTTACTTTTAAGTGAAAAACTYTGCATTGTTTTAACTTCTTTGTCTTTGTTTACTTTTGTTGAACTTGCCTTTGAAATGACAGGAGCTTTAGTAGTCTTTGGTGTAGCTTTTTGATCATTTTCTTGGAGCTGTTTACTTTGACTTCTCAAAATCCTTTCAGATTGAATTGGTGCTTTATCAATAAAGTTATTTTTCTCCAATTTTCTTGGCCCAGAATTCGTCAAGTTTGGGAGTAAATCGTTTGAAGGTGATTGCTGAGAGTTTTTATTATTGGGACGTAGCGAATCTAGCTCAGATTTGCTAGAAACAGYTTCTTTATTATTCAAAAGTGAACCACTATMTTGTTTSTTCGTWGGYTTGGTGCTATGGCTTTGTGAAGACGAAATTTTGAAGCTTTGCTTTGGAGTTTTGACAGTTTTCTTCGTGCTTTCCAAAAGTTCTGCCTTACTTAGACCAGAGTCCTTTAAATTCGAGAGCAAATCTATAGGTTCTTCYCCTATATCCACATTTTGGGTGTGTAGCTTAGACTTGTAGTTCGGATTCAGAAATTCTCGGAAAGACGTACTTCTTTTGATTTTCCAAAGCGGAGAAGTTGTCAAAAAAGGCTGACGTTCAGAAGACGGTGCAACATTTACGCTTTTCTCAGCCGAAGGCCAAGGGATATCACTACTTGATGTAACTGCAGGAGGTTTTTCTTTAAATAGGTCACKCAAAGACATTGCTTTTGAAGTCGAAATACGATTCAAATGCCAGTAATTCTACATTGTCGAACAGAAACGTCAAATCCTCGTTTCTGCCGCCATGTTGGAATAGTGAGCTGAGAAAGACTAGGACCGATAAACTTTGTAGCCTCGCAAAATTAGCTCGCCTCAGTCTCTCTCATTCAAGGCGCCAYTTTGACAAAAACTAAAAAGATTTCCACGAGTTTTAACCAAAATACGCCTTTCTCTCACCAAATACTTAACAATATGAGCGGAGGAGTATACGGAGGGGGTAAGTTACAAGTATTCTATGAGTTTTGTAGGTTTTTACTGTGTTTTCATGTCTTTGTCTGGTTTGTTTAGATGAAGTTGGCGCTCTTGTCATTGATGTYGGTGCACACACAATTAGAGCAGGCTATGCCGGCGAAGATTGTCCTAAGGTAAGCTGGAGTTTTTATAGCTCAAAGCAGTTTKGTAAGGGAGCTAGTAGATTAAATTGTAATTTAATGATCGATTGAAAAACTCGCGCTTACTATTTCATAGTAAACACAGATCATTTTGTCATGCATACATGCGCGTGCGAAGATTAAGCTTAAGATAAGCTTATCTTAAACTTAAAAAAAAATGAACTTATTACAACTGGAGAGGAACCGAACTTTTAAAACTGAAGAGGTTATGAGAACTGCGTAATACTAAGGAATAACGTAGGCAGAAATAATGGTTATGAACWGTTCATAATTGCCAAGAGGGGATCAGTCTGTTCAGACAGTGGGTGTACTTTTTCCAAACTCTGACTGTTACTATAATATGGTTCATGGTAAAATAATCTGAACTTTTTAATTGATTAGTATGACATACCCACCCATCTTGGTGTATTTGGAGCAGAGGACATYAAAAGTGATGAAATGGAGACTGACCAGCACACTGAAGGTACATTCTTCCTACTTTAACACAATGCTAGATGTGAAAATTACTGTATGTTGGTGGCCAAACACATGACCACACATCAAGAATCCCACAAGAAAAAGTGTAAAGARCTACTGCTACGATATTGGATGGATAGTCACTAGAGAAACTAATAAAAAAATATAAAGCCTGTAAAAGTGCTTTATCACTATCCAACATTATAGGAAATGTTAGATGATTATCCAACAATGTCAGATACCCAAACATCTTTGCATTTAGCAACCAATAGTCCATTTCGCGGATAATTCGAAATTTTTACGTTATTATGGTAAATCATTGACATCACTGGAAAGAGCGTCATAAAATCAGCAAATTTTCTAAGTTTGAAAATAATCTGATTTAAATTTAAAGAGATACGGCACTTCAAAAAACACTAAATTTTGCATAGAAATGTTTGGCGAGGTTGTAACGTCAAGGTCAACCTCGATCTCATGCCGACAGTCATACATTTCTTTGTAAATTTTGCCGACTTTTAAACGCAGTATCTCCTTGACTTTTCATCGAATCATGCTCAAACCTGGTAAACATACTAATTTTATACTGTTCTTTCCAGTGGTGGTAATAGTTTTTCGATATTTGCTCAATTTCTAATAGCTGTGTTATCCGCGAAGTGGACTATT